TATGTTCCATTGATATTTTTTAATATCAACAATAGCCCTATTTACAATTTGATTAATATAATATCTAAAATTAAGAAATTAAAAGGCACCATTGCATATCTCAGGTTTGCAGCAGTATAGATATATTTAATATTCTCACCACTCTGGTCACCACATTATTCAGCTCCTAATTAAAAATCTTGGAACAAAGATTTCCTTGATGTATGATACAGTGAAAATTTACCATGGGGTGGAAAATGAGATCTGCAGTGATCTTTCTGAATCCCTTCCGTTTTCCGACCACAATGTCGACAGTGGTTGGACTGTCAGTAGTCACAGAAAAAAAAGTCTTGGAGACAATTCTTTTGCCTCACAATAATTAATAAATGTCTTAGCATTATCGTCCCCAGTAGCTGTGCCTGTGCCATGCATGAGGTTTAGGAAGCACAGCTCTTCTCAATTTTCAATCTGAGTCACAGTATCTCGCAAGAATTGCTAACTCGGAGCACAAACAGCACAGACTTTATTCTGAGCAAATCCATTTTCATCTCTCCAAAAGAGTTGAAATGAGCGTACATCTAACTTTGCTTTCTTAGCAACCGATATTTTGTCCAAAATGTTTGACTTTACACTTAAGTGTGAACAATGTTATCAGGAGCACGGATTGCGAGCTTTGAAAAATAATGCAGTAAATAAACAACGTAAATATATTTTTTTCTATGCCAAAGAGCTTTCACTGGATTGCAAGTTTTAGTGAATTACATTTCTGCAGAGTTGTTTTCTTTTTCTTTAAGTTAATTTCCTGTTGGCTTATTAGACATTTATTGCATGTGCCATTATCATTGCATATACCCTTAAAAATCCCTTTGCATGCAATATTGGCATACATGCTATTGGTTGCCATCTCCTGGTCTAGATTCTGGAATAGTAAAGTAGCCACGTTTTCAGGTGATACTTAATATGGACTGTCAGCAAATGCAGTAGTAACAGCAGAAAATGAAATTCAAAACAATTAAGCTAAAAATTACAAAACGGCAAACTCCAGAAACTTTTAATGTGAACGACTGCAGGGTATTACATGCAGATGAACTATACAGTGGGGAAATGCTGAGCTAGAAGACTTGTGTTTATGTTGACATCATTTACCTGTTTTAGACAATGTGGGAAAGCAATTAAGAAGGCAAACAAATTGCTAGTTAAAAACATCAATTTAAATCAGCTGATGGTATGTTAAAAATACGTAACACACTAGTGAGTCCTTATTTAGAATATTGTGCACATTTCTGGTCACCAGGTTACATATAATTTACTGTGACTCCAGAATCAGGCTAAAGAAAAGCAATCAGATATATTCTGGGGTTTAAGCAAATGTCCTACACTGACAGACTTAAGGATACAAGTATTCAAAATCAAAGGTAAATGTATCCAGAACACTGAAACATGGAGCAGATGTCAAAGGTGGAAACTATATGGAAGTGCATTTAAAACTGAAAACTGGAGTCACCTTACAACCAAAGGGCTGTGGGAAATTGGCACAAGCTACCTAACCATTCTGTTGAAGCCGTAATTCACTAACCCTTGGCTTCTGTAATAAAAAGGCTGGATGGGTTGAATGAACAACTCTCTCATTTTCTTGAGGTTCATTCTCAAAGGTATGAAGCAGAAAGTGCTAGCCTATTTCTACAAAATGCAAACAAGACCATAATAATACAATAACAATGCAGACCTATACGAATTAACAGAATTCACTTAAAAGTAAATTATGTTTGACTGAAGAATTGGATTATTATGATTTGCTTACTGCTGATTCCTTGCAATTGATAAACTGTCACTATAAAATGTATTTAACACGCACAATACAATACAATATATATATATAACACTCAATATACAATCACAAGGAATTGCAAATTCCAACAATGTTTTGTCCAGAATTTAGATCAGTACTTTTCCTTTACTAAAGGCTATTTAAAGATGAAAGACCTGTAACAGAATCTCACCTAAAGGCTACAGAACAAGACATTTTTACACACCCTAATAACCGTCAAATGATAAGATTCCAGAGGATGGTAAAGATAATCCTTTTACATGAATCACCTAAAGAAAAACCTGTTGAGCACATATGGCAAATGTAATTCTCCGTAACACCATTCTACATCAAATAAATTATAACTATAATTTAATGAAAACATCTCACAAAATCAAAGAAACTGTCAGCATGTGAAAACATACAAAACCATTTGAAGGTTCAGGTACACTCAGGATATTTGTCAAAATGAATAAGAATAATCTTGAGAACATGTAAAAATAGGTTTTGTTTTGAATATGAAAGATTTTAGTGTATCAAATTATCTACACAATGCACATGCTTTCAAAATGCTTGGAAAGGAAGATCCAAAATAAGCCCAAGCAGTACTATCTGTAACTTCAAAAACTACTCATAGTTTTCTAGTGGCACATAGTAGTCTACTATGTCAATATAAAGTTGGCATGGTTAAATTTATTTTGGACCAGTTTGCATGCCTGTGTGACACATAATTAAACCTGCCAAGTTCTATCTCAATTGATAAAGTGGTTGCTCACACACTTTCATTTACAAAATGGGACTCAAGCAGCCATTTTGCTTTAATCAGGAACTGTGTGCTAACTGAAATAACACTAAGCTTTCACTTTACTTGGCCAAACAGATGTTAAACAGGAAGATCTTGCATTATGAGCCATGTTATCAACAACATAGAAAAAAAATTTCAGGCAATCATTTTAGCTTGCCATGGAAGCTTTATTTTCACATATTCATCTAATTCATATGTATTTAAACTGGTAGATCTGTATTTTGGTATAACACACCTCAAGAAAATATACCATTTCTTAATTTTGGATGCACCCCTTATTACTTTAACATGCTTCAGCATAGCCAACAGGCAATAAGACAGAGTATTTGAGGCATTATATGTTGCTTGGGTGACACACAGGCATCTCGGCAATCTTGTTTCAGCATTCTTCTAGAAAACTCTTCATCTTTAATTATCTCAAGTGAACTACATAAGTCTACAAAATGTCTTTGTCTATACCTTCTATTTATACTGTACAAAAAATTATACATATTAAAATTAAATCAATAAAACTCTTAGAGCAAGCCTCCATGTGGAAAAAGCTTTAAAAATAAATTCTATGCAATTTTCCAAAATACAAATAAATGTAAGTTATTTAAAAATCATACACTTTAACCTTAATACAATAAATACAACTTATCTAGTTTACAATTATTACTCAGCTTTTAACCGATTAATAACTGCATCTAATGCACACTGAAGTGAAAGAAGACCCAGTCCATGTGCGTCTATAAACATGATGCCTTTTTAGACAACATTCACTGCCCACCACTAATAACATTCTCTTACATGAAATGGATAAATATTAACAATTAAAAACTGACTGTTGTACAAATATAAAAACATCTTACATTAATAAACATAAGGATCACGTAATAGGTTTATTCCATGCTGAAAAGCGAAGAAAGAAAACGCGACGTTTCGGCTGTGGAGCCTTCTTCGGGTGTAACCCTTCTTCTTACACCTGAAGAAGGCTCCACAGCCGAAATGTTGTGTTTTCATTCTTGGCATTTCAGCATGGAATAAACCTATTTCTTGTTCCTTTGCAGCCTACCAATGCTGACGCAGCTACCCACCTAAATAAACATAATGCAACATAAAACATAAAACAACATTGTAGCAACTTTTCAGGTGTAAACTAAAAGGCTCCCACTCATTTAGAATGAATAGACCAGTGCACTGACTTTTCAATGTGCACTGACTTTTAAGGGGAGATTATAATTTTCAAACTGTATCTGTGCTCCATGAAGCATTCCAAATTGAGCTAAATGTTATAAAGGTAAAAGTTTAGAAATCCATACTAAACTAACTTTCTTTTCCGTTGTAGCGAAAGAACGGGCAAATATTGAAAATTAATGGAAACGGGTAAGCTCCCACAGGCTGAGGAGCAATCCAATGAAGCCATCCCAGTGCGGATGACCTCGTCACGAGGCACCAAGCATCAGCGCCCCACAGCGACATGCCGGTTGAGAGACTGACAGATAAGGTGTTACAGACCCACGAGGCAAGCAAGTACATTGGACCCTTTAGTGTTAGAAATACCCAACAACCCAGCATCAGGGCCAGACAGAATGTTAAATGACTACAGAGATTACTCAAAAGGGATACCACACAGATCATGGTAATAGAGTTTTCCCAAAATAAAGACATAATTCCTCTTATTTTCTTAAGGAGAAGTATGACATTACGCATAGAAATGAGGAAAACATCTCAGATCATGGCTGTGTATCCAAAACCAACGTAAAGCATTTTATGCTTTTCTGGCAAGTTATTCCGCAAATGTGATCAATCTTTTTTAAGAAATGGGTTCAATGTTTAGAAAATGAACTAACTTTAGCCTTAACAAAAAGATTCAAAAAGTACAAGCATTCATGCTTAACATGGATTCATGGTTCTCTCTGAATTAGCAGGAAGGAAAAAGGAGTGCAGTCGATGGAGGTCAGTGGCTGAAACATGCAATAGAGCAGCACTGACTCACCATGATTTTAGCGTGCAATCATTGTAAGATGTCGCAGGTGACGTTTTACAATAGGTAGCACCGTACCAGAACAATCATGTTATACTTCACAGAACAATCTTGACATAAGACGAAAGCTATTTTATGCATGCAAACTTTCTAATATGGCAACATTTAAGAAATCCTCCCCATGTTTTTTGCCAAGTCCAAGACAAGACCAAACCACATGAGTAATAACTTTGTTAAGGACGTGGCACAACATGGCCCACCCAATTCTAAACCTCTGCGATGTTCAGAATTCCTCAAAATTATTGTTAAAAATACAAGTGTCTGTCTGGGGTTTGAATTTCATTTCAAAATAATGGTTCATGAAAAAATGGAAGAACAGCAGGGGCTTTATTTGGGTCGTTATTTGGCACCTAATATGTAAGATTACATACAAAAAAACTTACTGTTCCAGAAGTTGGCTGTATTTATCAAGAGCATCCTTCTCTGCTTGAATGGCTCTCTCTTTCTCAGCAATTGAGTTATCTCTTGTTTCTCGCAGATTTCTAGGAAAGAGAGAAAAGTAATGTTATCTGATGTACAAAGACAAATATATACAGATATGCAAATTTAGACATTTCAGAAGGGACGTTTTGACAATAACAATTACTCAGATTTTAATGTTCCTTGAGTCAGAATATTGCTTAAAGGACTGGTTTTTAATCCAACTTGAGTAGTCAATTAAGCAATTCATTATTTTCTTACACAATTTTTTAAAAGATGTTTTTTTATAATTAATTACTCAAAACATTTACTTTAAGGATGGTTCTGTAATCTGTGAACTGCTTACGATAACTTTACCTTAACTTGTTTACAAGTTTTACAATTCTGAAGTTAATTACATTATTAGAGTACTTAACTGAATGTTCAGAATAAACAAAAAACAAAAGGCACGAGGCCCTCCAAGAACTGAGTTTGAGATGCCTGATAAGGTAAGTTAGAGGATAAGATAGCTGATAATAATAATAATCATAATCATAATCATAATAATAATAATAATAATAATAATAATAATAATAATAATAATAATAATAGCTTACACTTATATATCGCTTTTCTGGACACTCGACTCAAAGCGCTTTACAGGTTATGGGGATCCCCTCCACCACCACCAATGTGCAGCCCCACCTGGATGATGTGACGGCAGCCATAGTGCGCCAGAAGACTCACCACACATCAGCTCTCGGTGGGGAGGAGAGCAGTGAAATGAAGCCAATTCATAGGTGGGGATTATTAGGAAGCCATGATTGGTAAGGGCCAATGGGAAATTTGGCCAGGACGCCGGGGTAACACCCCTAGTCTTTTCAAGAAACACCCTGGGATTGTTAATGACCACAGAGTGTCAGGGCCTCGGTTTTACATCTCATCCGAAGGATGGCACCTGTTTACAGTATAGTGCCCCCATCACTATACTGGGTCTTTAGGACCCACATGGACCGCAGGGTGAGATAGAAGATAGATAAGATAGAAAATCAGTTTTGTTGAGCAGGTTAACTTAATATTTTGTCGGACATTGTTTGATTAAAATCGTGTCTTAAATGGTCTTCACCAATGACTCTGAGAATACCAATCTTAAATGTGAAGAAGTTTGTTTAAAAGTGAAACAGAACGCTTTTTCCCAGGCAGTGTAATACAATGTCATTCAAGATCAAAGCTGCTAGGTGTGGGCCTGTAATTAGTTAGTTCACGGCTCTCCGCGACACAGCGACTCCTAGGACTTCCTTTGCGCCCGCAGGCTTCCAGAGCAGCAATGCCACTAAACTATATTTCACTCTTCCGTTCAGCAGTAACTCTACTGTAAAGCAAGCAGAGCTTGATCGTTGTGAAAAGATGAGTGATTAGGCTAATGGGCAAGTGAGACAAGCCTGTCTGGGAACAAGAGCAATCAGTGTGAGCCGAGACAATAAAAATTGGCAAATCCAGTTTGGTGGGGTTCGCAATGTTGCAAGAAGTAACGAGAAATTTGCCAATTCCAAAACTTTTAAAAAATCCACGAGAGTATCTTAAAAAGATGCTTAGGCATTTTGATCATAAATGAAAGATGTATCAATGTTGACGCAGTGCGGGTTCGTATGACGACAGGGCATTAGGAAATGGACGCTGTGACACAAAAATTCTGCATGTGAAGTTCTAGAGTGTGAATAAAAACAGACCTGCAGCAGACACCTGGTGTGTCACCAATTCTGTTTCATTTCAACTGCATTTTGCTAATGCCACAGATACAAATCTAACTTGTCCCACCTTAGCAAAAATAAAAGTTAAAAGTTACTTTAAAAAATATATTTTATTTTACTCCTATCACTTAAATCCTTAGAACAAAAACCTTAGAAGGCAGCAGGTGGTGTTTAGCTGCCAATGGTAGCAGTAACACAGTAAAAGCTAGTTATACTGCCTGTACATGGGAGATAATTCAATTTCACACACGTGAAACATTAAACTACACACTTGAGAAAATCAGGGCGCAGCCTCTGTTGAAATAATTTCAAATATTGGAAAAATTCAAAAAAATATATAAGGCAAACTCCATTTTAGTTTCCAGGATAAACATTTTATGAAGGATACAGAAAATCTGCAAAAATGTCGCACACAGTCTAGTCAAAAATACTGTTTTTCAGTATTAAGACAATGTGGCACAATCGTTATTCAAGTTCAGACATGACTTTTCTAAAGATAACAGTAGGTAATGGTGAAATTACAGATTTTATATCTCTTATAAAATTTATAAATTAATTGCCTCTGTCAGACTATTTAGAACAAGTCATAGTGTCCTTGCTTGGCATGATCATTTAATCTTTACACATCACAAAGAGGGTTTAGTGGTAATACTTTAAAAGTCATATTTGTAGAGAGAAAGTGCCATGTGGATTGTGTCATCTTAGATTAACTGTTATAATGATATGTTTCCATTTGGTAAATATAAAAAAAAGTTAGTCTTTCAAAGGATTACAATTATATAGAAATGCTCTGTAGACATGCAATGGAACTAGTTTTAACAAACAGTCCCCAGAAATAAAAGTAAAATAATTGCATTAAATAGCCTTAATAATTACTGCTACCCACCCTTACCTGTTCTCACGTTCATACATCTCCTTGGAAGTTCTCCGAAGACTCTCTATTTCTTGATTAGTTTTTGTTCTGATTTGTTCCATCTCATCACGAAGTCTGTTTTCATATTCTGTCTTGTAATGATCTCTACAGTGCAAGATTAAAGAAAAACATTTTCAATGAAAAGCTGCATTATTGCAAATTTAATTTCTTATTAAGTACTTGTAATACCTTACAGTGAACCTATCAAAAAAAACTATTCTCCTCCCAGTCTTTGGGTAGCATAAGGTTTGCAGACATACATGTATCTTAAAATCAAATCCATTAAAAAGGTACTCATATTATTCTAAATAAGAAATAGATCTCACAGATAAGAAAAAAAGCTTTTGAACCACTTTATAATTTCTTAAACTGGTTCAAAATCCAGCTTAATTGGTTAACTGTTATACAATATATGAATTACTAAGTAAAATCCATACTGCCTTCCTGACAGAATATAGCAAATACCTAAAGTAAAATATTATTAAATGGTTTGACAAATTTTAAGAATGAAATATACATGTGGAAGCTACCACAACTAGACATCATGTGAGATATGACCACATACCTGAGTACATTCATGACTTGCCTCTACAATGGTCATTAATTGCATACTGGCAAGTTTTTAGATACAAGTTCAGTCTCATTTGACTATGGTAGACCACACGTACACAGGAAAGGGCAGAAAATGTTTAAGGGAAGTGTTTCAATAACAATTGACCAAATATGGTGAGGCTAGCACTTGTCATTACATTAAAAACTCAAATTTGTTGCCAAAGTTAAACTTATTCCTTCTTCAACTAATATGCAAAGATAATTTCTAGAAATTAGGAATTTACTTCATTGCTATAGTGTACCAGGAAATGAATTCAATGCCTTGGGACAATACTGGGACGCATCAACAACCATAAGATTTTCTAAACTAATATTACATCCACGGATTATACATTGTAATAATCTTGGTAAAAAAGCCTGAATAAAATCGACACCATTCCAACAAAACTCCACCATGATTTTTTAGAGAGAGACGACACTACCTTGATGCAACATATTTTTCATATGCTTCTTCTCGAGCTTTCTTTGTTTCTTCGAGCTGAAACTGGAGCCTCTCCAAGCGATCCTCCTCATGAGCGCAGCGGACGCTGAGCTCTAAGTTCTGACGGTTCAGATACTCTTTATCTTTCTGAAGTAGTGTGACTGACTGCTGCAGTGCAGCCACCTAACCCAATGTTTTTGGGGTTAGAGAAAACAGAGAAGAGAAGTTCATATCAACACAATTCTGCCAAGATACTGTCCAATCTTCTTTATTATTAATAGGCAATTAACAATATACATCTTTATGGTTTGTGTCAATGTATTTATTACTGCTGTTACTATGGATTTTCTGAACAGTATGAGAATAAGTAAAAAATCCATAAGGATTTTTAAAAAATTATGGAAAGCTATACGATAATATCTATAAGTAATATCTGAGTGACATCTATAAAGAAACAAATTTTAGAAGAAAAATACCAAATACAAAGAAATATCCTAGTGATTTGCAAGTAAATAAAAACATAAAAGTCATTTAAACAATTAAGAATTCTTTGATGTGTTTCTAGGTTGTAACCTAATGATTCAAGAAACCCTAACACGTAACTGTGTAATAAGGTGTAATAACATCTCTTAATTAACTGCTTTACTAATGCATTTAGGGTAAAAAAATCATAATAACTGAAATAAATCTGTTCTAAAGCCATTAAACTGAAGTCAAAATCGTACCTGTGCCTTTTCACATGAGCTATTACAACACATAAAAATCTCTTTACAGAAAAATCACACAGACAAAATTCCCCCAAAATATATTTTTATTGTTGCCTTTGCTAATTGTTTCATAATAAAGTTACATTTGAGTTATGTAAGGTGTTTGCAAAAGACAAATTTCTTTATTTTCATATCTATGTATTGTATATAAAAAAAACATAAAGGCAATTATTTTACCTCTTTTCCCAAGTCATTCCTCTCTTTTGTTTGTGCTTTGTGTGTTACTTCAAGTATTTCAAAGCGTTTTCTTATGTCAGAGATTTCATGTTCAAGACTGTCTCTCTCACTTAAAAACAAAAATATGTTTTTATATATATATACACACTGTATTTCTAGTGAGTAAAGCATTACAATAAGTATCACTAAACAGTCTGATCTCATGGACATAGAAAAGAAAACAAAGACAAATGACTCAAATGTCAAACATGAAGGAATGAGTGAAATGTGGAAAATATAAAACATAATGCAATATGCAATATTGCTGCAATGGAGTGACTTTATTGAATAAACACTAAATCACTTAATGAGTGGGAGAGCTGGTTGGACAAAAGCGTTTTAACCTGTTGAATGCCAACACAGGTGAAAATCAGAACACCACCTTTATGACATCAGTATTTTGGAAACCGGGCAACTTGTTTACAGTGGAACCAAGTCCTCTTTAAACAACAAATGAAAGATTTACATGCACCACCCTGATGCATGTCAGAAATAATTAATTTTTCCACCTGTTGGAAAAGCAATTGTCATTTAACTGATAAAAACCTTTTGAGTTTGTTCCAGGTGTGATGTGCTTCCTCTTTTGCTCAATATATAGACAAACACACTCCAGGAAGCACCTCAACTGTGTCTTACCGTTTAACTTTGTCATAATTTTCTCGCTTGTAGTCACCTTGCTGGATGAGCTGTTTTGTGTCTGCCAGCTCCAGAGCAAGACGCTGACTCCTGATTTCTAATTCTGAGCGCATTCTTCTTTCTTCTTCATAACTCTGGAAAGCACAATATACACAAACATTTACCAGGACACCTACCATTACTATGATAAAGCAACTGTTAATGGATGGATAGATGAACTGATCATGGAACCTCTGTTTCACACCTTAAGCTCACAGCGCCAATGAAAGAGTTAAAGTATTACTAAAAGGACAAGCTTTGGACACTCTGACCATCTCAAAACGAATTAATCTTGGTGGCACTGGACCAGCTGTGCATTCCTACTTGGGGAATGCCTATCACCCAGCTAATGACATCCTCAGTCCAGTCACAAACTATACAAGTCTAGATTACAGAGCAGAGTCTGTGTTTGTCTGAATAGTCATACTTGCTTGTTAAAGCATTTCCAACTCTATACATGAACACGAAGACGTTAATTCCACTTGGAAAAGCAGAAAGAACAAAAATGTTTTGGTGTCGTAATTTCTTCAACTTTGTAGGGGAATGAGGGAGAGAGTGGATAAACTGATTAAGTGTAATCTTTCATACTTTTCAAAAAATATTAATCATCCAAAAAAATGTATGTTTTACTGCTTCTATGCTTATACATTAGTTCTACATACTAATGTATAAGCATAGAAAATTACAGATTCTTCTGGTATTTTAAGAGATTTTACTTTATTTTCTAACAATTATTAGTGACTGAACAATTATATAAATGTCAGAGTTAATGAATTTGTGATGGCCACGTATAGAGAACCAGAATGATCTGAATTTCCTGCATGCATCATTCAATGATTTGCTTTGAATGAAAAGCCCTCCCCACCCATCATAACTTTACAGGTGACTAATAATTAGTGACTCGGTAACATAGTTACTCATTATATTTCTAAATGATGACAGTCTTCATAAATTATTTAAAGCTAGGCAATGAAGGACAGATGATGTTTAGCGAAAACAAAAGCAAAATTATACATAGTATGCAAAACCACTAAGACCTAACATATTAAACTTCCAACATTTATTGTATGCATCAGTACATACTTACTTCCATCACTGATTGCAGTTGACTTCTGTAATTATTCAAGTCCTCAGACAAGCTGCGGTTTTTAGTCTTATATTCATTAACCTCTGTTCTCAATGGATGAACTGTTTCATAAAATCTTACCTATTTACAAAATATAAACCATGTTAATGTGCACAGAAATGGTTAAAAAAATATTTACATTTTAATAAAGGATATCAACACTTTCTAGTTCAATCCCACTGCAGTTAATACTATTAATGTTATTCAAATACATACAATCACACCCAAAAGTGCATCCTTCAACTATATAACATTTTGACTCTCTGCCCTTCAACATAACAATTGGCTCAACATTGTTAACCATACATTTAAAACATCAAATTTGACATTTATTTTATTTATACATTTATACATTGTTTTGTACTGGAACAACTACCCTTGAAGTGCTGAGTGCGTCCTTTAAGTTTATCATAACCCTATCAGTAATACATTATATTACATTATGAAGAAATATTACTAAATTAAATGCACAGACCTTTTTAAGGTTTCATGGCATTATTCAAAAAAAATATAGTGATGTTATTTTATTTAAATAAAAATTCCAACAGTAACTATTAGAATTTAATCTCCTGTTGGTACTTATTTTGCACAATGTCAAATACAGTGCATTATTCACTCTTCTGGTACACTGCTGCCCCCTTGTGACTTTGTAAAAGGACTTGCAAGTCCAGTTAACATATCAACATGAACGATTGCAATAGTATTAACTAAAATTAGATTACATGAATGTTATTCAAATGCACATAATCTATTATAAGTTTACACTGATCTTTATGAATGAAATCTCAGTATTGTTGATTTTTAATAAAATAATTAGAGAACAAGATAAGTATGCAGTAGGGTTTTAATAAACGAGAATAGACACATTCTCTCATAACATTGCCTAATGTACTACAGCATATAGTACATATGGTTAAAAGACATAAGTAAACATCCCCTATATGACAAAGCATTCCTGCGTTGGCTCCAAGTTAATAAAAATAATACTGATTAATGAAAATAAACAACAGTCATCACAAACATATAGCAACCCGCTACAGAAGATAACCTGTGAATAACCAGGGGACACCTGCACTTTCTCTCTCTCTTTTACAGCGAACACCCTGCTCCCTGAACAGCAGGTCCCACTGGAATGAGCAGGGCAATAAAACTGTCAATGTGTCTGTAAAGACTCCAGCCTGCCGCTCCCCGGAATGACAGTGACCAGACCAGAACCGGGAGCAGGCCGAGGTGTGGGTGCTGGGTAGTGAGTACTCAGGTCGGGGCAGGCAGGGGCTCTCTCACTCGCTGGATCCTTCTCCTGATCCTAGTTTGTCGTGCTGCTAATTTGAAAGTTGCGCTTAACAACCTTCGACTCCTGCTGTGCTCTTTTATCACCCAAGACCCTGAAGGCCATACGGAATCACAAATTCATGAATGTTAATTTAGGCAGAACAAAATTTAAAATGTTGTTTTAAAAACAATGTAATATACCAGCTTGCCAGCTCCCTCACGACGCTGCATTTGATAAAGTAGTTAGAAAATGGATGAATGTAATATACTGTATCTGGGGCTGCATGGAGGCGCAACGATTTTGCTGTCCAGATATTTTTAGAGGTTAATATAAGAGGGTTGTAAGTTCCATCCACTACAAATGTACAGCAGCCAATGCAGCTTGTATAACATATGTTGATATAATGGTATTTTAGGATGTATATTATATCAATATAAACTGATTATATGTTCTTGGTAGCCCAGACTTTAGTTCAACTTCGAAATCAGCTTAGGGTTCATGGAGGCACTAAGCTGTAATTTATTACTGAAAATTATATCATTCTTCTATACACTATCATATTACATATTTGTCATGTTATTTAAATGTAATATAATTACATTTCAATATATACAATTTTACAATGCGTAATATTGTCATACAACATAACACTAAACTGCAATCGCATGTAAAAGTGGACATATCCACGCTCAAATTACATACAAATCTAGTTCCTCCAATCATAAGGTGTCTACAGAGGAAGAAATAAATTACTCACGGACACATATTCGGGGATGGAGAGCTGGTCCTCTGGGAGTTCTTTCAGCTGGGAGTATTGCTCCTCGGTGAGCTCCAGGTCACGTAGGCTGCGTCGAATATCTCCGGCTTTCTCACGCAGCTGCAAGTTGGTCTCTTCCAGCTGTTTCTGTCGTGACATAATGGTGTCCATTTCTTGCTTTCTAAAAGCCTGCTGTTTCCTGTTCCGAAAGAAGAATGACGCTTGGTTAACCAGATCTTACAGGAAATTACATGCACGGTCTCCACAAAAGCTAAGCACATGCACACCACATCAGTAATGCTTCTTCTACAAGCAACATCTGTGGATTAGAAAAAAAAAGTATGATAAATGCATCTTTTTAAAAAACAGAAATTGTATACAAGACAGCCAGATATCTGTATTTATTTGAAAAACGTTTGTTAGTTCTGGGAAAATTGGTCCCAGTGTGAAAGTGTGTGCCTGCAATAGACTGGTGTCCCATCCAGGGAGTACCCTGCCTTGCGCTCGTTGCTTGCTGGGACAGGCTCTCCCACGACCCTGTATAATAAAGCAATTCGAAAACGGGTGGATGGACACAGTATTTTTAGCAAACAGTAGCCCATAGGAATCTCAGTTTTCATGCAGCTAGCAATAAGAGCTAAGCAATATTCGAGACATAAATGCATTCTCACCTGGTTTCCTCCTGTTGTAGTTTGATTTGACTGTCTAGTCGTAAGGCTAGCAACTGTTTCTGATGAAGGGCATCATTGAGTTTCTCCTCCAGCTCCTCAATCTACAGAAATTATACTGCAGTTAGATTTCAAAGTTTTGGGGTAATGTATCAAGTATACATAAATGTGTAAGCAGTGACCATTTACCCTGTGAGCAGCAGCATCATCACAATGCGGAAAGCCTTTGCAGCCGAGAAATTCTGAACTATTCTTTAATGTTTTGAAAATCAAAGAGAATTTGTTTCAAAATTAATTTGCAAATATAACAATGATTACATAGAAGTCTACAATGTTTTCAACACAAACTTGGTCTAGACCTGAAGTGCTTAATAATTACCTTCCTAATTAGCCTTTTCTTGCAAACTTTCTGACAAGGGTATTTGCATCTCAAATGCAAACATATTTTGCATCTGATGAGTTTTAATCCTTCCAGTGGGGATTTAGGCAAAGACTTCATAATGAAGCAGTATTTGATAGGCGGTTAATTACTTGCTGATGGTTGCTAAAAGGATCAAATCATATTTTGGGTTTACTTGCTGCTTATATTGCTGTCAATCAGTGTCTTACTGCATCACATGGAAAACTATTTAGGAGTTACTGGTACCTCACTTTGATGGTTAGTCACCTATTTGGCAAATAGCACCCAATTCATAAATCTTGGCAATTTTGAATCTGATGATGATCCAGGCATCACCTATCAGGTATTCCACAGGGTTCTTATGCTGGGATCTTTATAATTTATTATATATATAGTATTTTTATCAGATTATTAGACATCTTAAGCTTATATTTCACTTATACTGATGGCACCCAAATTAATTTGTACATTAGATACAGTTGCTGTGGGTTCTACACTTTACAAGTGACTGTCTGCTTTTCACACATAGATGCAACAACTTCAGCAAAAGAATGACAGATTGAACAAACAGCTTTAAAGTTTCGCTACATTCTCTATACAGTCTGACCTTTCCCAATGTGATTTTAATCTCTGGGACGCTATTTGAGTTCGAGACAGCGGTGCAGGTTTCGCTGATACCACAATGAAAATCTTACAGTTTCAAGAATCTCAGGGAGGTGCTGGATACAAGCATTCTACAGCAAAGGGACTATGTGCAAAAGCAGAGAAGTCTAATGTTGTACAGCACTTTGTCCTCCATAACACTTGCTCACTCATTTTCCTTTACCAACTGTTACTTTTGAAATACCATCAGCAGCTAACCGCCCTGAGAAGTGGTCAAGAAGCTCAAGATGTCTTTAATGTGCCTGCCAGCTCACTCCTCTTCTGCTGGAGTGATAACACACTCAGACAGATTCCCTCTTGACTGTCTTGTTTTCTTATTCAACCCAGCGCTGGATGTTATATTTCTACAGTAGTTAATACAGTACTTTAGGATCAAACCTTCATCTGCCCGTCTTCCCTTTGCAGTCGCTCACCTTGGTGAGGTACTCCACCTTCAGGTTGTCGATGGTGAGGGCTTTCTGCGACAGCTCTATTTTCAGCAGTTGGATGCTGTGCAGCAGCTCCTTCCTCTCAATCAGCTGCCTGGTGACTTTCGTGCTCCCCTCCCTCTCCTCTGAGGAGGACACGTCCTCGGTGGGCACCGTGGTTTCTAAGCTCAAGTCCTCCGACTCCAGAGAGCTGGACACATTGACCTTGGCATCTTTGTGTCTCCTGGGAGGCATCGTCAGCTGCTGTGTTGCCAAGCAGACCTGTAGCACCACACTTGCTCGTTATGAGTTCGATATTCACTGAAATCGCTTGTTTGAATTCTCCAGCCAAGAAACGGGACACAATTTCCTGAAGAGCAGCCTTTTCATTCGTGTGCTGGGGGACAACTCTGAAAACCAGCTTTACAAATATGCCTACATAGAAAACAAATCAACGGATCTATTAAAATAAATTTAGGAAGTACTTCACACATTTGAAAGACCTGGGTTTTCCAAGGCTCTTCCAATGAGATGTAGCTAACTTAGGGCATCCCAATTTGTTACACAGTGGGAAGAATTGTAGTTGAGACGGTAACCCATTTTGCAGCTAAAAATATGTTGCTTACCTTAATTATTGACACACAACAGATCGTTTACTCTTGCAATCTTTATAAAGTCCGTTTATTGTTCCTATTCCTTTCACGACAGCATTACTTTATCCTCCCGCCTGTCCCGATCACCCTAGAAACCGCCGGATGTTAACAACACTGCTGCAAAACATTTTCTAACGGTGAATTTGGAAAGAGATGCTCTACCATCAGAGACGTACTTTTTGCCTACAGCGCCATCTAGCCGGTTTCCGGAAGGTAGTCGTTTTACCAGGCTGGGTCACCCGCTGAGAAACCGTGCGAAACTGCAGTATAACAGCCCGGCTGCCAGGGGGCGCTGTCCTTCCTCATTGTAGACGAAGCACGTTCAGGTGGCCAACTAAAAGCTTACACTTGGTTTAACTGTAGTTCAATCTTGCAAAAGCATTTGCGTGGAGGTAGGAAACCCAGGTAAAGTAGTGTTCGGCCACCCGCCGACACGTGTTTTCCCCTGTTTAGCTGCTGTATTCAGTGTTTACGATTTGTTCTTAGGCAAGTCTTTTTTTTAAATTTAAATAAAGATGCTGAAGTCTAAAACGTTTGTAAAAAAGACACGGTCCGGCGGGGTGAGGAAGATCGTTCGAGAGCATTATCTCAGAGATGATATCTGGTGTGGAAGCGAAGTTTGTCAGTCGTGCCCACAGGACTCCACGGTGTTGCAGAGGAATGCCTACATGGAGAGTAGCTTGTGCTCTTCTCCTCACTACCTAATTCCGGACACGAATGTCGTTTTACACCAGGTACTGCAATACTCTTTCTTTTTCGTTGTGTAGGAGAATCAAAATGTATCTCTCATTCTTAGAACTTTAAAACAATTCAAACCCTAGGCTTACGAAAGAGGAATGCATCAACGATTTACAATCCCAGGACATTCTCAAACATCAGGTGCATCACTCCTTTCCTTTTACCGGTGGTGTTCGTCTTTTCCTCCTTAATGTATTCATGTTTTCAAGTCATACAAAGGTCTATTTTACTTTTATTTCGTTGTTTATTGACGATTCTTTGACAGTAATGGAACCTGATTTGATTATGTGTCTGAACAGAAATGCAACTGATCACACACCGTCTTTCCATCCAGATCGATATCCTTGAAGATCCACTGATCAGGAACGTGATAATCTTGCAGACGGTTTTGCAAGAAGTAAGACACAGAAGTGCTCCAGTTTACAAGAGGATCAAAGATGCTATTCATAACGCGGAGAAACATTTCTACACTTTCACTAATGAACACCATAGGTAAAAAGCAGCTCTTCCTTGTTAGAATTTGACAAGTAAATATTAGGCTGAAAAGACAATGTTCTGTCAGTGGTGTTTTCTTCAGATTTCTTGCTGTTGCTGCTTGGTCCAATTTTGTTCTGTAACAGGTATGATAATTTAATAAATTAACCAGATATGTTTCTTTACAAAAATGAATTGGCTCCAAATTTATTCCTTTACAAAATTGATATTTGGATCCACATGTATTCATGCCCTTGACGCGGTGTAATGAAATGTTGGTTGTAACAACTAATCAACTTATCAAAAATAAATGCTGAAAAAAATCATTAAATATTTTTAGGTATCTGTCAGTTTCACAAAAACACAGAAGGTTTCTAGAGGCTTCTGGAAATCATCTTGGTTACCACTGGATAGTAAAGGAGGCAAAGCACTCAAAATCTGAGTCTGAACTGTCTGGATATTTATGGTATAAAATTATCAGCCTCAGCTACTCCAGTGACAGTTATGTTAACACTGATAAGACACTATTTTAGACCCTGATGTCCTTCATCCAGATGTTCAAGGCTAATGGGATAGGTGCTACTCAACTGGGAAGTTGCCATGAAAATGTTTTCTCCCAACGTGCAGTTGGAAAAGTGGCTGCCTCTCACTCAAGGCCAAAAGTGGGGAGTATTGGGGAAAAAACTCTTCACACAAATCTGTAAAACACTCTGGCAATTTGTTGCGACGTGCTGAAACAAAAGGTTGATTATCAGGATTCAGTGTCTTCAAGACCCCCCTATGAGGCTGACCTCATGAATCTCATGTCTTAGCAACATGAAAAGGAAAGATGGGACTTTTCAAATGGGACAATGTGATGCAGCTGGAAGAAGGGAAATGGAGTGTTTGGGCAGATTTACACGTCTGAAGAAAAAGTCATCCCTTCAGCGAAGTATGGACTTCAGTCTGTTCTGCTTTGACGCTTTTTTCATCCTCTGCTCCCATTGCCTTTGTTAGAATTCAAGGAAAGATATATTTCAAAGATAATAGACAATTTTATCTAATACTCTAGTTCCCTCTTCTCAGACATGGTTGCAGATTGACTTTTCAGAGAATAATGATCTGAAGCTCACCACAAGATGTACTTTCAAATGGTTAAGGGAGCCTGAAATCAGTGTTCTTGTTTGGTTCATTACCATTCCCAGACTTCAGCCAGAACATGTGCTGGTTTTGAATAAAAATAAAAACAGTTTAATAGTCCACACAGTGTAATTTGTCATATGCACAAATGCAATGAAATGCTTATGCATTGGGAGGAGCGGTCATGAATCCCCACAGAGATGTGTCTGAAAGTGTTACAAAGCCTGTCTGTTACTCAAGCCCAAGGTGGATTTACAGAATTCTGACATGTGGGGCGTGCATAATTTTCAGCATTGCATACTTTTAAAAAATATGCAATGACTTTGGACAGATTTGTTTCTAGTACTCTCTATTAAAGTATGTCAGCATTTTTTGCTAAAACCAACTATCAGTTACATTGTATCAAGGGCACAAAGAATTCTTGAGCCAGCTGTAGTTATTTTAATAGTATAAGAACGATGGCTCATGTCAAGGCAGGCTTATGTCTATATGTTATATGTTACTGGAAATAACAGTCCTGTAATTGTTTTAAGGGAGCTGTCTTTTTGTGTGTTTACTGAGCAGAAGTGAGTAAACAGAAGCTCCTGTGTCTCCTTTGTTCTCGGACAGGGAGACCTACGTCGAGCAAGAGCAGGGAGAAAGCGCCGCAGAGCTGCACGACCGGACGATCCGCGTGGCAGCTCAGTGGTACACTGAGCACCTGAAGAAGGCCCAGACAGCCGAGGACCTGAAAGTCATTCTGCTCACACATGATGGGAAGTGCAAGGAGAAAGCTGAAGAGATCGGCTTGGTGTCATATAATTGTAAGTTTTTTTGTCTTATGCTGATCTTGGCAGTGTGATTTATTGAATTTGTTTTTTGCTTTGTTGGTAGGATCAAAGGTGGCCTTTCATTTAAGGTCAAAGTTTTATGTAGAGCTACACACAGCAAGTAGAATTATAGCTTTTAGTAAAAAATGAAAAGCATTACTAGATCAATGATAAGACAGAGATATCAACGCAATTTGTATCAAAAACAGAATAGTATTATTGACAGGTTCCTTAGGTTAGAAAAATAATACTTTTTTCAGTACTTGTTTCTTAATAGAATGTCTTTTAGATCTTATCACTTAAATTCAGAATATGTTAGTGAATATATATTTATTTTCCAGGTGAAGAGTACATTAAGAGCTTGATTGCAAACCCTGAACTTGTGGACCGCCTGGCTTTGAAATCGGAAGAGAATGTAGGTGTCAGCACCGCTGTGATCTTGTTTTGAGTGACGTAAACACTCGTGCTAGTCTGCATAAGGCTTGTATAAGAAGCAGAGATCAGACTGCTTGTGGATCAAAGCTGTTCTTAATTAAACATTCTTGAATTACCGGTTACTCTTTAATAGGAAGTTGAAGTTTGGTTAAAAATAAACATCACTGTGTCTGAGACATGGCATGAAATCTGTTTAATACCAGTCTGGGGAATTTAATTTTTTTAAAGAGAAGGAAGAATGTTTTAAAATTGACATTGATGGCATTGCTGCAGCTTATTTTAAACAGCAGTATGTTCTTTGACCCCCACAGAATGAAAGTGACAGGGGTAAGATCCTCTTTCCAGAGCATCTCCCACTCTCCAAAATACAGGCTGGGATCAAGTCTGGGCGTCTGCTCCAGGGCACATTCCGTGCAAACAGAGACAACTATCTGGAGGCCAGTGTGTTTGTCCACAGAGACGGGGAGGAAGATGTAGAGGTGGGTCTTGCTCTTTTGTGGAAGGAACTGTCCTGCAAGTCTATCTCAGGATGTAAACATTTCTGTTTTTCTTACATCCGACACTGCTGGTTTCTTGTAGATAGCATTTGTAAGTGAAGGGGAATTTGTGAGTATAAAGCTATGAGATCTCGATCAATTTTTGTGTCAGATTGTTATAGTTCCTTTGAAATGAAACACACTGCTGCCCAAATGTCTGAGATGATTTGTATTTTTCTGCGATCTTCACTCAGTGTCTTTCTTTAAACTGAAATGCAGTTCTCTGATAATCTCTTAAAAGTGTAGGTATTTTATTTTAAGCTAACAGTTAATCGTGATAGATCTGCGTTTTGTAGTACGGAACTAACCTTTACGCTTTATGGAGTTCTTGCGAAGGAACAAATGATGTTAATGACGAGGAGCTCCTGAGGTCAGTCAGTTACATTTGATTGATAAATGTGGTGTATTAGCTACTTACTATTAGCAGCTCTTATATTTTATCTCTAGCTTTTGAAGATTCTGCTCAGTGTGAATTATAGATTTCTAAATGGAAAGTAGATTTTGTCTCATTCACACTAAGCTGTGTTAACAACAGGTTTTGAGTAAATAGTTGATGCTCATAAAACACATATAAACTTACAAATGCTGCTAGGATGTCTACAACTTTTGCTCTCCAGTATGTATACAATGAAAGATATTGAATGAAGGATTTGTTTATGATAATTGGTTTCCATGTTAGAAAAGAACTTTAGGCACTTTAATTTCTCAGATAGTTACCATGCTGAGTTAGATATTGAATGGACAGAAGGTCTTACTCGGAGGTGACCTTCCTAGGGTTTTCTCCCCAGGTTTTGATCCAGGGACTCAGAAGCCTGAACCGGGCTGTGCACCAGGATGTGGTGGCTGTGGAGTTACTGCCCAAAAGCGAGTGGGCAGCACCCTCCTCTGTTGTCCTGGAGGACGAAGGCCCTAAGGAAGATGAGAATGAAGACGAAAAGGAAAATATTGTGAGAACTAAAAAAAGTGCTTTTATCCATAAAATAATTCTGTTTTTATGCATTACATTTTTCATGCAATGAAAAAAAAATAGCTTTCTAATTAATACAGTATGTGTTCTTGCAGTGTCGTGGTGTCAGATGGGGTTTGATGTAACACCTGATACACTCACTGACAACAGTATAAGGAGCCCCACTGAATAACACCTTGGGCATTCATTGTAGTGCTGCTATTCAAGTAGATTCTTAGTGATGGGATTCTTTGTATGGTGCAAGCTTTGTGTCACAAAGATTATGACAAAGAGGATATCCTCATTTCACCTCTGCTATTAGGTTTTCATATTTCGGCCATGCGCTGGTTGATGCATTTTTTCATTTCTATTCTGGCCTCGCATAATTTAATAAAAATATTTTAGTAACCCCTTAAATGAACACTTGAGTTTTAGTTATTCATATATTAAAGTTATTCAGACTTTTCAGATCTAAGGTTGTAATACTTTTTTTTATTGGAATTTCCAGCTGAAATCTGTAGCCAGTGAGAAGATGCTGAAACCCACTGGGAGAGTCGTGGGCATTATAAAGCGAAACTGGAGACCGTACTGCGGAATGCTTTCAAAATCACATATTAAAGAGGTAAAACCAAGCTGAAAGAAAGATTTTTGTCGTTTTCGTTACAAGCCGAATTTCATGTGGCGTGCTTTATATTATTCACAATCTGGAAAGTGATATGTTCTTATTACAGTTCTAGTAAGGATAATTACACCAAAATATTTTGTTTTATTCTTGCTTTTTATTTCACAATTAAAAACTATCTTGCATCCATTCCAGAAATGAAGATTTTGGGGCTTTCAATGTATTATGATGATTTTGTTTTACAGGCAACAAAGCATTTATTCACTCCAGCTGACCGCAGGATCCCCCGGATCCGAATAGAAACTCGTCAGGCTTCTGCTTTAGAAGGACAGAGGATTATCGTTGCCATTGACGGTTGGCCTAAAAATTCTAGATATCCTAATGTAAGACAATGATTTCAGCAGCGTCTTTCAACGGCGTTTCACAGTTCAACACCACCATGTTCATAGTGAAGTGTCACATAAGAAGGTTATTGTCTCCCTGGTTGTTGTAGGGCCACTTTGTGAGGAATCTGGGGAGTGCCGGGGACAAAGGAACGGAGACGGAAGTGCTCCTTCTGGAGCATGACGTTCCTCATCAGGCCTTTTCCCAGGCCGTCCTCGGCTTCCTTCCCAAGATGCCATGGAGCATAACAGAGGAGGTAGATGCCTTGCTCTGTGTCCGCTTTCCTAGGCTGTTTGTTTAGTTTGCAGTATGGTTTAAGAGAAATGGAGGTGCCGATTTGTAGTCTTGAGTGCTCTGTTCAGCTGAAGCTAAGTTCTAATTCCCAGTCTCGGATGGTGACACCCTTTGTTCCTTTGCAGTTGTGAGTTCACTCCTGGGTTCGTGTTTGTCTCTTTCTTGTAGGATATGAAAAACCGTGAAGACCTGAGACACCTACATGTGTGTAGTGTGGATCCTCCCGGGTGTACGGATATCGACGATGCACTTCACTGCAAGGACTTGGAGAACGGAAATTTAGAGGTACTAAATTTAGAGGTTGCTTTTTTAATTTGTGTAGCTACTTGAAGACTTTGTGAAGAAGTGAAGTTGGTGTTTAACTTATCAGACTACAGAACACAAGAGTGAAGAACAATGTAACCAGACATAAATTTAATAAACAGCTCTAAACATCTGTTGTAACACAACAGTAACACATTTGTATAACAACCATGGTGAAATAAGGAAAGGGAAGGAGTTTAGATACGGCAACTTTCATCAGCCCACATTGCATAAATTCTGAGGGTCGTGTGGAAATCACATCATGTTCATTAGGTTCTGGACTCCACACAAATTTGTTTTCAAACGCTTACTCAAAACATCTTACGAGGATGAACAAAGAATTCTTCTCATGACATGGTCTGAAGCAAATGCGAATGCGTCTTCATTTTCCACATGAACTTGTTGCCTGTAATAAATGTCTTCAGAAACACGATTCATTGTACTGCTGTTCTGCGTTGAGCTAGGTTGGAGTTCATATAGCGGATGTCAGTCATTTCATTCGTCCTGGAAATGCTCTGGACCAAGAATCAGCGAGCCGAGGGACCACAGTCTACCTTTGCGAAAGGGTAATGTGAACAAATATTGCAGTGCATTTTATTGTTGAAAGTCCTTTGGAATTTCCCTGCTAAATTAAAATTGGTTTCTCTTTTCTTTTAGCGAATCGACATGGTTCCTGAACTGCTTAGCTCAAATTTATGTTCTCTAAGATCTAATGTAGAGAGGTAGGACATTTGTAGCTCCTCTTAAATACACAACAATACATGAACTTTCCACGCTAGGTCTGGCTGAATAACTGTTACTGTGTCTGATCCTTCAGGCTGGCGTTCTCTTGCATCTGGGAGGTGAACCACAACGCTGAAATTGTTAAGACGCGGTTTACAAAAAGTGTGATCAATTCCAAGGTTGGTGAATGTATTTACTACAAACCCTAATTTATGAGGGGTTGTACGTTAACATTATCAAAGGATGTATTATGCTCCTCTGTGGTGCACTGTTTTTTGTGTATGCTTGTGATGTGCAAAGTGCTGCTGGATCTCCTTTAGATGTTAAAATGTTCCTGTATTGACATCATGTGATTGGCGATCAGAAAAAGCTTAACCTCTTTAAGGGCTGCAACAAGGACGAGCAGTGCTGCTGCATGAATAAGACAGTGATTTCTGCAGGGTTTTGCCAATGACAGCCTGTGAAAATTACAGCCACAGCTGCTACCATAGACTTCCTGCAGAATCCAGGCTGTTCCTCACTCAGGGTTCGGCTCTGAGGCAGCATGGCCCAAAATAATGACAATTCAAACCATTTAATTAATTCAGTAATTAGAAGACCTGTATTTGTAGATGGATTCATCTCTTAAGATAAAGGTTTTGTTGCAAACCAGAGTTTCAAAGGCTTGTTCAGCTGTTCATAAACATTCCAAAACGTTGACAATGCAGAAAGATGTGCGGCCATTTTCTGCCCTCAGGCATCTCTTACTTACGCTGAAGCCCAGATGAGAATCGATGATGCCAGCATGAACGATGAAATAACCAAAAGCTTGCGTGGTTTGAACAGATTAGCCAAGATACTTAAGAAGAAAAGGATTGAAAACGGGTGAGTTGGTCTCCTGCTTTGCTGCATTGCAGTTTTTTTTTTCAAAGTCTCAATAAATGTCTTATCTTTTTTAGATATGAAACGTTTGATTTCACTTAATTCTCCCTTTTTCTTATTCCATATTCATTAGCTTCAGTTTTAAAATTTGTTTAAGTAGTCATGTATTAGTCATGAGAACATTTTTGCACTGAGTATAATTGCTTTTTGCCTTAATTTGCTTTTTGGGATTAATTGATTATTTAATGACATCTAGGAAATAAGTGGTTAATTTTTTCAGTTTTATTTTTTCTTTCCTTATTTCAGAGCGTTAACTCTGTCTTCTCCTGAAGTACGTTTCCACATAGACAGTGAGACTCACGACCCCATTGACATGCAAACCAAGGAGCTCAAGTGAGTTGTTTCCCATTTCACTTTACCAATTTCAATAAAACGTGACATTTTTTCTGAGAATATTGCATTACACATCTCTTGTTTTGCTAGCTCCAGATCTCTTGTCTTAAAGACTCAATGCATGAGTAGAGTCCAGCCGTTCACCTAATTTGTGCTGATTCTGGACAATGTGAGAAGAGAGCTTTCTTGCGTGCAGCACAACGTCCTTGGAACTCATTGCTCAGACCCATTAGAGACTTTGTACTCTTTTTTGCAAATCTCGGTTAAAGACCTATTTATTAAATTTTAGCGAAATTCAACATTTGATGCTTTGAAAACTGCCAGAAGGGAAAAGTTTAAAAAATGAGCTGGTGGGAAGGAACAGCTCTGTGGACATTTTACCATGATCTTTCACCATGTAATTTAGTCTTGCTGTTGGTCTTACCGAGTCAATCTGCTTTACTTTTTTATTGTAGTTTTTTACCTGTTTTTTTACCTGTTGTGTATGCCTTTACATAAGTACATAACTTATTTTATCATGTAAGCTAAATAATGTTTACATGAATGTTCTTTTTTAATATTACTTCAGAATGAATGTGCATTGTGATTCATAATGTCTCCTCATTATATTTGCTGATGTCTGTGATTATAATTTTGACAGCTTCAGTGTAAATTAGGTTAATTGTACACAGCTGCACTTGCTGGAGTATACTGTACTTCTCTGCTTTCTTAATTTTCATTTACAGGGATACTAACTCTATGGTTGAAGAGTTCATGTTGTTAGCAAACATATCAGTAGCTCAGAAGATCTACGAAGAGTTTCCTGAATTTGCCCTTCTCAGGAAACATCCTGCCCCACCGCCTTCCAATTATGACATCCTTGTCAAGGCAGCAAAATCTAAGGTAAGCACTTTGTGAGTTGATTTTTCTAGTATGACATATGCAGATATAATTACAGAAAAATATTTAAGATGTGAAAAAACATCGACAGCCACATTGTAAATGGATTTCTGTACATTCTCCTTGTCTTTGCAAAATTAATGTAGATATTCATTTTTATAAGTAAACGTAAAATGAAAAATCACATGCAAAAACGAAATTAATTAGTAAATTAAAGGTTTTGGGCGCCATTATTTTATTACTGTATTTTGTAAGGCCTTTTCAGTAATCTGAAGATTTTGCTGACCAGCTGAAAGGATTCTTAACCATTTTCCACAGCTTTCACATCTAGATCAGTTTGCTGTGGTTCCCGTTTTACTGCATTTGTTTCTGAAAGCTTTTTTTTTCCTGTTAGTTTTTCCTTACCTTTGTGGTTCTCTGCCTTTTTGAGATCATTGCGTATTCTGTTTCCTCCGCTTTTACCGGTTAATATTTTTTCAGCTTTTTTTACAACAATCATTCAGTGGGTTTTATGTTTGTTTGTTTTTTTGGTGCCTAGAAATCAAAGGGGTGGTGCCTTACCAACCAGACTTGTACTAAAAAGTGTTTTTGGAAGATTTCCTACTTTTCTCAACTTATTAAACCTTTCTCCCCTTTCGGTCTGCATTGTTTATCTCCTGTCTGTCAAGAAAGGTTTGATAAAATGCAAATAGTGTTCTTTCATCAAGGTCCTTGTTGTTTGCCTGTTTATTTCAAAAGGTTCTCTGCAAGCAAGAATAAAATACAAATGAGACGAATGTTAAATTTTGTGTACTTAATAAATTCTAAAAGACTTTATGTTAGAAATATATTGTTAAACAAATTATTAGTGGCAGTGTTGTTGGCTGTCCAAAACAGTGTTGTTGGTGATCTTCACTTTCTGTGGACCTCACTATTTTATTTGGACATTTTTTCTGCCAGAGCTTCGAACTCCGAACGGACTCTGCGAAGGCGCTTGCAGACTCTCTGGATGCAGCTCGAGCACAGGGGTTTCCGTACTTCAACACGCTGCTGAGGATCCTGGCCACTCGCTGCATGATGCAGGCTGTGTATTTCTGTTCTGGAATGGACAGCGATTTCCATCACTACGGCCTCGCTTCGCCCATCTACACACACTTCACCTCGCCCATCAGAAGGTCAGTTATTCGGAGGTCAAGTAGTGGTAATCGACACCGATCCCTCGTGCGCTGAGTTTTTCCTTTGGATTTGTGAATTTCTGCATTTCGTTTTCAAGTTTGACACGTATCTTTAGTACAGTGTAGCCCTGGCAAGCAGCAGATTTATGGAGTTTTCTTACAGGTACGCTGACATTATAGTGCATCGTCTGCTGGCAGCAGCTATAGGAGCAGACAGTACGTATCCTGACCTGATGGACAAACACAAGCAGGCAGCTCTGAGCAACAACCTGAACTATCGACACAAAATGGCACAGTATGCCCAGAGAGCATCGGTTGCCTTCCACACACAGGTACGATTCCTCGTAACCACAAGCAGTGTGTTCACTGTGGTGTCACTGTAGTTAGAGCTGATGTTAGTGCCTCTTTTCTGAAATTTTCTGAAATGTCATTAATACTAAAACCACTTTTAGAAGTTTTTAAACTTTTTTTTTTTGCAAAGGAAAATGTTTAAAATTAATGTGAAGGTTCGTTTTTTGGTGAATTGTGATGAGTTCCTCATTTTGTGGCCGTTTGCCTTTATTTACAGCTCTTTGTCTTTGTACTTTGCTTCCTAGCCCATATTTTACGTGTACTGTTATTGGTTTACTCATGTACATTTGGCTTTATTTTTGTTTGTGACAGTGTTTTTTTTAGACTTGGGAAAAAAAGAGAATCTCATAAGATATAATCAAAATTTTATGTGCTCTAGAAATATTTTAATCACTTTTTTTTTCTCCTTTAGTTATTTTTCAAAAGCAGAGGGATTCTTAATGAAGAAGGTTTTATTCTGTTTGTCAAGAAAAATGCCATCGTTATTCTCATACCCAAATATGGACTTGAAGGCAGAGTGTTTTTTGAAAACAAAGACAAAAACAACCCCCGTCTGACTTTTATTGAGGAGGTATTTAATGTTTTCAGGTTCTTAAGTCATTACTCTAGATATATACGTTTCAGTAATTTGTGTTTTCCTTATAACACTAGGTCTGTATTTTCTGTATCTTAGAAAGGATTTTTTAGAAATGTATCACTTTAAAACCTCTTTATAATAATCATCCATTCATCCATATTTGCATTTAATGTTTTGTGAGATGTCAGTACTATGATCTAATGTAATGATGCAGCTCGTGATCAATAAAATCACATTTAAATTGGAAGATGAATAGAGATGAAGAAAGCTACAAACCATTCTGTTTACAAACCTAATTCATTTTCAGACTTCATTTTGAAGTCCCAGTGTATTCTCCTGTGGTTTTGATTTTAAAAGTTATAATGAATAAATTAAGTACACCAGTTTTATTTTTTCTTCAAGAAATATTCTTGTGATCCTTATTTTTCAGATTCCTGCCCTGACTGTGGAACACCACACCTTTCATCTGTTTGACAAAGTGAAAGTAACCATAAGTCTAGATTCTTCAAACATCCAGCATCAGAAGATTCGAATGTCCCTTGTGGAGCCAGTGGTAAGAAATGTAGAGTCTGGTAATTTTAACCCTACAAACCTCTAAAACAATTTAACAAAATTAGAATTTCACATTAAAGGATTTTAAGGTATGTCTAGCCCTTTCTGGGAATCAGATTCATTCCAGATATTCAGACAAGATGGATGTCATATAGGTAAAGGTGATAGATGTAACTAGGGATCATAATTAACGATAATTGCTCATTTTATCATTCCCTCCTGCTCAGATAAAAATTCTTCTTGATGGAGTAAATACTGCTTTTCACTGTATAGAAGCAAAGCAGCTTTGTTTTCCAAATGTTGGTACAGTTAATGTATTTGTTTTCTGTTAAACAGTAGTTTACCCACAATATGGTAGACTTCAATGCCTCAGGCATACATATAAAACAAAAATTTCTTCCAGATCCCTGGGGTTAGTGTATCTCCTCAGTCAGCGCAAGACTGTGAACCTGAAGCAAAGAAGACCAAACTGGATTGTTGAGGACAGTGACAGTTGTTGCAAGATTGACGTTTTTACGTTTTTGCTTTAGTGCCCGATAGTTGTTTGGAGATATTTCTTATAATGTTTGAGCCCTGTGAGTTGTTTGTCGAGCACAAACAACTAATATTTTTGTAAACCTTTCATCTGACACATTGCAATATTCCCAGAGATGTTTTATATATAATTGGTTAGCTGTGTTCCAGCATAAAACTATTGTGTTTTAACAGAGCATCATTACAGATCCATAAAATTGAATTTTTGTAGTTAAGAAGTGAGACAGATAAGCCTGCAAATATTAGGAAATCTTTCGTATTTGATGTTCAGATATATTTTGTATGTCAGTCGTTTTGTATTTAGTTGTAAGATGTACATGACACTGCTATTAGAAGCATCATCCCCAAGAGCTTATGATGAGGACAGCAGATTACAGTGGCTAAATTTACATTCACAGATGAATGTAATTTCTTATCAGCAATTGGTTTTGGCATATTTCATCTTACTACACTGTTGTACAGAAGAAATACATACAGATAATGCAATTTATGTAGTGAAATCCAGTTGTTGGTTTAAAAATGGTTCAAATCTTCACCGTGTTGAATTTAAAACATAGTTTGTTGTTCCAACACTGTACAAATGCTTTGTAACAAATAAAGTTTTAAGTATAAAGGTGTTAAGACTTTGTTTTACCTTGTTTAGTTAACTGGGCATACAGGGGAACATAATTCTTTCAATGATCTGGACTGCACAGTACAGTATATTGTATATGCAAGTTATGTTTTCGGTTCAGTTTTCCTCAGTGTTATTCCTGAAGAATTTAAATCAATTGAGTTGGCAAATTAGTGCTGTTTTTGTAGGAAACTACAAGGGAATAAGAACTGGACTGGTTTTCTACTATTTAAGATCTATGCAAGATTAAAATGAACATGAAACACAAGGCGTTGATGCCATTTTCGACATTGTTCTTTAACCACTTCTTGGATGCTGTCAAAATGAACATATTTCAACCAAAGGTAGGTACAAACTATTAAGTTATTTTTAACTTCATTTGTATGAGTTGAACAAATATCTGGTCAGGCTCCAACTTGAGTGGCATAGGGTGTAGTTTTAGCTAACAGATGTTTAGAGGTGATCTGGGAAATTAAATATCAATAGACACACGCCATGATATGGAAGTTGATTACGATGCACTCTAGTGTCTTTCTGCTTGCTAAATGTGCTTCCTCTCCAGCTGAAAAGGACAGACTTTAGATGACCACTGGGGCCAACGAAATGGACGGGCAGCTTCTTCCTCAGTTCCTCAGCCTTTGATATGCTTACCTGTAGGTTCCACCCGTCTTCAAGCTTGTGTTTTACTATGGTGATTTTCCTTAGGCAATACTTTTGAGGATTTTGAATATTGTATCATGTCCCCTTCTCATTTTCTCTGTGCAAGATTAAATTCTTTTCACCTATCAATGTAGGACATTCCCATGCGTGTATCGGTTACTCTTATTAGCTGACTGATCTTTGAGCTCTTTTCAGGATTTTTAGAAAGCCTAAAATATACCATATATTCTTTGTATCCCTCACAGCTGTTGCTTGTTCAAAGATCTAACAAATGCTACTAACAGAATCCCAGCACCTTACTGATCATCCTCTAGTCTAGATCTAAATATCTGTATTTTCCTGTAATAGACATAAGCCTTATTGATCTGTATTAACAACAATCACGTTTCTTTAGATTAGGTGCTACAGTGATGATATTTAGTCCACTCCGTATTACCCACCAAGGGTTTTGATAATAGCTTAGAAATAACATATCATGTTTCTTTAAGTACACCTAAAGAATACCATCAGGCTGTAGTGATTTGTTTAGTTCAAGTGCTTGTAGAGGTGCATGCAACACTGCTGTTTCTATGCTAATACTTAATGTAGATGTTTAATTGTTCTGTCTGAGCTCTGCTGTCTATTTCTTCCTTGGAAAAAAAAAATTCATGTAATACACCAGACCCCTCCATTATCTGGAAGGATCTGATTTTCATTTCCAAGACACTTAGTCCCTCTATTGTGTTGTTATAAAACTAAATAAACCTTTAACTTATGTTTCCATTTCTCTTTCCCTTGGCCTTTTCCAATTTCATTTTTTTAAACTTGTGCAGGCAGTTCATTATACCCTATGTCTTTAACTGCTTTCTTTCTCCTATTTTTAATTGATTTATTTGACCATTTTGGCCCCTATCTACTGAGGAGATGAATCTGTTTAGTAGTTTGAGATCAATATCTTTAAAATGTTATAATTTTCCTATTGGATATATTTATTTCATCCCATCAAATGGGAAATGGATATCATCAGTACCACAAAGAAAACACAGCAGTACTTGTGTGCCAAGTGAAATATTGATTCTGATAGGTTTACAGAGCCATTATTGAGAGCATGCTGACTGCCTCTAGAACTGTTTGGTTTGGCAACACGTCTGCCTGCTCCAGAGGCAAACTGCAGCGTGTTGTTTGTCCAGCAGAGAAGGTCAATGGCTCTCATCTGCCCTCCATTGATGATTCGTACAATTCCAGAGCAAAGAAGGGGGCAGGAAAGATTGCTGATAACCCCTCCCACCCAGGTTACCACCTGGTTCATAAACTCCCCTCAGGAAGACACTACTGGTCTGTTAAACCCAGAACCACCTCGTATTAAACAGCTTCTTTCCTAGGAATGAAGTCTTAGTTTTATGTGCACTTTCTTCTTGTGTGTGGTAGAAGAGCAGCATTTTAGCAGCACCAAGTACACCAGAGTAAATTCCTTGTACATGAAATCAGAAAGTCAGTTTTCTCAATCCTTATAGTCTCCTTTAGACTTGACCTCTACATGTGCATGTTTCAAAGTATGTTATGATCATAAATGCTAACTACTGAATTGAACACTTATATTAGTCATATCATTACAGAAGTATTCCAATGACTAGTTAAATGTAGTAATATTAGACATACTGCTGAATGGCTGGATTCGGTCATACAAATCAGACAAAATGCAGCTTTCCACAGTTCTTAATGCTGACAAATGCACACAAAAAATCCATGCTTAAAAATCATCATGACCTTTGATGACATTACATTTTTGTAATCATTTTACTTATGAGAATATTCAGCAGCAAATTCAGTTTTATTAAAATAAATATAAAACATTTGATATAGCAAACCATACCCAATTATTCTAATAGCATAATTTTACAGTGAGGTTAGCTTGGACAGCACATTTCATAGATCTGTTGACTAAGTTGACTTGTCAACTGCACTGATGACTCAGAGGTTTCAAGAACTGTTAAAAACCAGGAAATGAATTTCCCACTGTGAAACGTTACAATATAATTCATAGCAATGGGATAAATACTGTTCTAACACATGCATTGCCTTTATAATGACTCTAGCTGGCACTAAAATTCATCATATTATACATTTCCAATATATTATATTGCAGGAAGATTTCTTTGACAATTTCCTTAAGACTTGCAGAGTATTTCCAAAATGTAAAATTAGATGCAAACCCAATTCCTCATTACATCTAGAGCACCTTTCCAAACATCAGCAGCATAGGTCATGGGAGTAGCAGCTTCTCCACCACTAATGATGTAGATTAAGGAACTGTAAAAAATTGATAGGTAAAATCAGCACATTGACTCCCTTTAAAGCTTCCTCAGATCCTTAAGCACTATAATACTCCATAAAGAACTGGGGAAAACTATTACAGAATTATCATTTTTATCATTCCATTTTTAAATAGACCCTAATGTTTACAGTGGAATCAGTGACCTATTTACAGTAACTGGTACAAAAGTCAATGATACAATGTCTAATTTGATCCAGGAAAATAAAAATGAATAAAGTATAAATTACCTTCGACTTAAAATGCATCCTGTTATATAAGCAGGATTCCTCGGGCAGGTGTACGTCAAGCATGTCTTTCTGCTGGATGTCTGTACCAGTTCCATCTGCGATATTGCTAACACCTATTGATTGTGTGTTGTACGCACTGTCTACCTGTAAATACATTTAAAATAACAGCATGAAACACAAAAAAAACATTTGCATTTAAACATTTAGGCTGAAAATATCAGTATAACACCCAAATAAAGAATATAAAACAAATATTCTTTAAGAATCTAAGCTGCATGAAAAGATTTACTGTAACAAAAACAGATAAGAGGTTAAATCCCCAAGTCACAATACAGAAATAGAAAAAAAAATTGAGAACCAGCTATTGGAATAAAGCCAATGTCTTCTGGAAAAAATGCCATGTTATTGAGGCCATTGAAGTGAAATATTTCTGTTAATCAGACTGCAGCTTAAATGAGACATACATTTCTCCCTGAAATGTAAATGTTTAAAAAGAAACAGTTAAAGGTGTTATAACCAGAGACCTTTCTAACATGTTTTAGAAAATTAAAATACAAACCTGTATACTGGCGCTGTCGCAGGGAATGCCACTGCTCTCTGCCAGCAGGGACAGGAACATGTGAGAACCTTCTGCATTGGATGTGCTTCCTGTTCTGGAGCTGGTCAGCTGAATATGAACGTTCTCCACCCCATCCTTTACCCACGCGCTCTCATCCTCGGCACTCTCCACTGGCTCTCCCATGTTCACCGTGTTATTGCCTTTAGCACTTTCCACATGAAGCGACTCAGAGGCCTCAGACAAGGGTTCAGGTCTCCCCACAGAATGAGAATGCAAGGAGCAGGCGTCCATGTCCATGGGGGGCATGGGGTCAGGGAGCGGCAGGGTCTCTTTTTCCTCGATGGTGCACTCGTGCGCAAGAGGCAGCTGGAAGGTGGAAACCCTGCGGCGGGGCATTCTGAGCCTGCCTCCAGAGCTCACTGGAGAGCAGCTCTTGATGGGAGAGCACCCCTCAACATAAGGGCTTTCAGCGCAGCGGCTGGGCTTCGTGTTCGAGCTGCAGACTGCCACGCCATCCGGAGAAAGGAAATTCAGCCGTTTTCTCTCTGCTTCAAAAGGCAAAAAAAGCTTAAGTGTTAACATCAGCAACTCACAGCTCAGATTTCACTACTTGTGAACTTACTGAGTTTTGTATCATTTTATGCACTTATAAGGCCAGACTTAACCTGGCAGATCTAGCTGCAGGTATAAAAATATTCAACTATGACTGCACTGAATAAACAATCGTCCTGGACTGAAATAATTTCCTGTACCGATTTTAATATCTCTAACGCACGCTTTAAAAACTGGAGTCTGCCTTGATACCTAACACTTTTACACAAGCCCATTATCCATTCTAATTTGTTGCAGCATGTTGCATTGTTACATTTGCATGTATTTGTTTTTTTTTATCTGTTCATACATCCTAACATCCACAGTAAAATATGAAATGCATTGATTTAATTTGTCTTAAGGACACAAAATTGTCTAATGTATGTCTAGTTGGCCTTTACCTAGATATACTTCCATAAAGTGTCAGATTGAAATTATGTTAATAATTAATTATGTGATGAAGCTTCTTAAATAAGATTGAGTTTGTATTATTTCTAATTAGGTCAATCTGGGTGTGTCCTTATTTTGACAAAAGAGTAGCAAGTACAAACATGGTTATGTGTTGATTAGTAAATGAATACAGCTGTTCAGATAAAGATGTCTAGATTTAATACAACTGTGTTACAAAGGATGGCCAGGGTGAAAACTTTAAGCCCACAAAATAAATGGATACCATTCCGATTTTCTAATTTTCTAATTGAGAAGCACAATGAAGTTTTACTCAAGTTTTTTCAATCTCATCTTATAAAAAGAACTGTTCGAAATAATCTTGAAACATCAGCCAGAAACACCCCAATTGTCTTGATCGGGATACAGCTCATACCTGAAACTGGCGTCTGCGCGGGCTGTAGAAAAATAGGCGATAAGGTAGGAGTCTTTAAATTCAGAGATGGCCTTTCCGAGAACACAGGACTTGTCACACTTTCCAAACTGTAGCATCTGAGACTGCCTTTAATCGGGCTAGAAGAAAACTGCCCCTGAATGAAGGAAATGACATCGTGCAAAATCTCTTTTAAAGTCCCTTTTAAATATTTTATGGTAAATATGAACAAGATCCCATTTAGATTCACTGTGATGAAGGGAAAAAAATGTACTGCCATAATACATCTGGCTCATTTGAAATAAAATATTTGTAGATTTGCTACTACCTGGCATGTGGCAGCCTCTTCTGCAGAGAATAAAACAAAGGGTGCTTTAATTGTATCACAATGGAATTTCTATTTCTTGTATGTCTATGTGTCACGAGAGAAGTCAGAGCAGCAATTGCCACGCAGTACACCCCTGGTTCTGCCGAGTCCTGGCTGTACTCACAGAGCTCGGGGTCTGAAGGGGAGCTGGGCCCCGCAGTGGTGACAGGTGATATGAGGACGGCACGCCGGGCGTCTCCAGAGCCGCAGGGCTGTGCGCGGGGCTGGCCTGGGGGGACACGGACTCGCACTCGTGCCCGTCCAGGAAGAGCTTGCGGCGCAGCGTCGGGGAGCTCACACTCTCGCCGGACTGGTCAGCATCGTCTGCCCTGAAGTATTCCCCTGTGCAGAGGTGACAGAAAGGCACTCTGCGTGGTTACACATGCACAGCTCATGCTCTTTAGCCTCAGCACCAAAACCCCAAGGACAAATCCAGCTACTTACATTTAAAAGAAATGTTTTAACATGTTACTGTAATACGACATCACAAAACTAAGTATCTGCCCATATGGACTGCAAGCTACTCGAGTCAGAAGTGGAAATAAAGCAAACGGATCTCTACCGGATTTGTTTCTGGCATAAAAAATGGAATGAAACCAAACTAGCAATAACATACACAGTAGATTTTCATTTGTTCTTTCTATTTGGCAGAGCTTGCCTTCCAGCATGCCGAAAATCAAACGTTATTAGCTAAACCCATCAAACAGCTGTTTCCACTGAGTAAGGCTGATGTCCAAGTGGTGTACAAGACCAGTCCTGGAGGGCCTCAGCATCTATAGATTTTGTTTTTGTTCCACCTCTTAATGATGTAATTGAGCTAACCATTAGCTTCACTGCACTAGATTTTCACTTTTTATAGGTCTTCAAGTGTTGGTAATGTAAAAAGACTGCTGGAGGACTCCCAGGACTGGATTTTATTACCTATGAAACAGAGCTACTACCAAGCTGTGGTATAACACCCTCTACCTTGAAAGCCATTTCTTATCCTGTGAATACAAGATGTACAAGAGCATCGACAGTGTATATGTGGAACTCTTCGGAACAGTATAGATGCACTATCATAATACAACGCTCAAAAACAGAGCCCCTTTACAAGTCTATGCAGCATCAGTGCTGTAACTATAGAGAAAGCTTCCAAACCTATAAACTGAACAGTGGAGTTTCACTTAACTGCATATTGCACAGTCCTGGGTAGGATTAATTACCCATGAGAGTTAATAAAGACTACCTGAAAATGTAAGACTAAAATATTTATAGACTATAGGAATCTTGTCAAGATAATCACTGGATGACAAATGAACTCGGACAATTGCTCATACTTACCTAATATTTTTTCCAGATCAAAATCCACAGGCAATGAAAGCACCGTTTGACTAGAAGCTGGAAGAAACACACAAAGAACTCCCCATGTAATGCACAAAATTGCAGATTTGTAGTATGCAATACTACAATTTTGTGCAGAGTGCATAAAGAGATTCTGTGTGAGCTACTGAAAAAAATCATATCCTTATCAAGACCGCCTTAGAAAATGTCAGGTTAGATTTAAAATTTATGCTACTGCTATTCAATACATTCATCTCTGGCTTGTACGACAGCCGTTTTGAGCTGGCATTTAGGATAATTTCAGTTTGTACTGAACAAAACTATGATTTAAGATAATTGAAAATAGTGGGGGGAAAATGAGCTTGATAGTCTTGTGTGCTAGTGAAATGAGACATAAGAAGTTAAGGAAGTTGCCTGATAAACAGTACTACAAGAGAAGAATGATCTACCAGCATAAACAAGTCGTGATGCAAGTGCTGCAAATTGTCCGATCATTTCGATTGGATTTTAACTATGATAAACAGCAGATTAAGTTACTTCACGTCCTATTTCTGCGAACAAAGATCAAAGGCAAAAATACTTATAACAGTCCAATGTCACGCTCCACTCAGTGATGCACAATAAGCTTTGCACTGGGATTCATGAAGGTAGAAACGCTTGTAATAGAAGAAGACTTCACTGGTGTGAGTCAAGACACTTCTCAAGAGACATCATACGAATGACCTTGCTATGAGCACAGAAGGGAGTGTTTCTTCAGCACCAGTATGATGCAAATTAGTTCAACTTCATCTCAATGGGCAGTTAATCATTGTATTCATATCATAAGTTATCCTCTGTAAACTATATTATGCAGGTCTGGTGACTACTGTAGATATATATTGTTAAATTACCCTAAGGCTAATCTATACTAGGCTTGAGAGACAGAACTAGTATAAGTTGTAGGAGGGTAAAAACCACACACGGAATCGACATTTTGGAAAGCAGGTTCAACTGAACCTGAAAAGCACTGTAGATTCAACTTTAATGCAGAAGGTGCCACCTGCTCTCAGTGCTACAAGTTTTAAAGTTAAAAAAATATATCAATTAGCCCACCCTGTTTACTACAGCGAATTGAGAAAAATGTTAATGAAAGGCAAAAAAGCCTTCTTTTACCCAAAGCACTACTTATAGGTGTGATTAACACAGATGGTCTGGTTTGGCTCTTTTTAGTCATGCAATTTTCCAAGGTAACTTTTAAAAAAAAAAAAGTTTTATTTAAAGTAAACCGTGTCCAAAATTGTCAACTGGGCTTTAAAAGAACTGCAGACCCCCCTTTGCAGTTTTTGATGACCAAAGGCGTCAAAACCTCAAGACCAACACCTCAACTGGTGTTGAGGTTTTAAGCACAAGAAGGATGACTGTTGGTGTACACTTGCTAGGAGCTTTAGTGATCCAGACAGTTCAACAAAGGTAAAGGGAAACTTCCAGCGGCAGTGCATACTGTACACCCGGATGATATCCACACGCGTTTAATTCTAAGTACAAGAGCAAACAGGTGAAATTTCAACCTGTAGTCCAAGCAGTTTAATTAAAAACAGTTCACTGAGAGCCCTACATAGTAAAATACCATAACCAGGTTGCAGGGAGAATGCATCACTCATTACACCTGGCAGGGCACGTTTGCCCATGCTCTTTACACCCCTGGGTTGCAATGTGATGGATTCAGATGAATCATCCTTCAACGTGTTAACAACAGACAAGGCACATGTGGAGCCAACCTATAGCACTCTACACACGGAGTTCTTGCTCCAACAGCGAAGGGTTTTGGCGATCCTGTGAGGTTGAGGTGCGCATTTTTCTTGCTCTAGCTGAACACGCTCATTCCCTCCTAGGGCAACATCAATGCTAATTGCTGCTTAATTGTACCGAGTGGTCATCTTTGCCCCATGTTAGAGAATTCCTAACCTGCTGGGAGGGAGATCAGCAACAATGACTGAGCTCCCATCCTCAGTGTACGTGTGATTGCCCAATGGTTTAATGGGCACAACACCGACTGTCCATCGCGATGGCCTTCTCAGTTACCAGATCTAACTCAGTCGAGCACTTCTGTGATATTATGGGAAAACAACTGAGTGTGCTCCACCTCCGTCAAGCAGACGTGCGCTGATTGATTTTCTAATGGAAGAATGGTACCACATCTATCCTGCAGACATTGGTGTATACTGGCCAATTGGTGACCCAATGCACAATCAGGGGTTGCAATGGCATGGAGAAGCCTTTCGTTCACATTAAATCAAGCATATCAATTGCAGAAGCTTTTAACAACGGTCTAGAGGTTTTGAGAGTATGCTGTACTGCTTTAAAACTGATCACAAGAGACAAGAGAACAAAAATCGAATATCAGTCTTTGACATAATGCCATTCCCATAACCTCCAAGACCAATGTTTCTATAAATTACAACCAAAGTAGTTTAAACGTCAGGCTTTTTTTAGAAATCTTAAGAACCCTTACAAAAAGAAATGTGGATATTCAGTGAGGATTTAGGCCACTTGCTAGCTCCTGGTAAAAACACATTTTTAGCATTTTCAATTGATAGCTCAATAGTAAACCACCTTTCTGTAAAGCTCTAAAGATAACATGTTGTTTAGTTGATTACTTAATAGGTATGATTTGCTACACATGCTGAATTGAGAAGCAGGCTCATTGTAAGGACTTCTCAAATCAGCTGTGGAATCATAACATTGAGATCTCAGTTTGCTTTTGCCAACAGTAGTGGTTTTCAGTAGTGACAACAATGATTGGCTATCTGTTCTAGTTGTAGACTTGCACTGAAAAGACTCATGATTTTTTGGACACACTCCATACGAGTCAGAGGACAAGAGCAACCTGTTCATACTTAATTTTGTCCTACATCTTGCCAGTGATTATAGGAAGCACTATAGTATAAATAAGATAAATTGTGCAACTTGCTTGTAAGGTTATTAAGGAGATCAGAGGATTCTGAAGTATTTTCTGAATATAAACGTATTTTATAAGTTTATTATAAACTTTATTATAAAGTTATTTATTCACTTATTTCACTTCTTAAAAACAACACAGAAATGTTGTCATTCACTAAGTTCTATTGGCTGTATATTTCCCAGATTAAAAGATTCAGCATGGCTGCACAGTGCCAAATTAACTCATTTGCAGAAGTAAAACTTTGGCACACCTTTTTCAAATAACTCATTTTCTACCACTTGCCTAAAACATTCATAATTTATTTTAAAAGCAACGCTACCACTTTTTCTGAATCCTTGCAGACAGAAAGCTCTACTGTTGCGAAAGTATCAACAGTTGATTTCTGAGGCTGTTAAATCAGTCCTTTGTCATTTTAAAATTCAGAAATTGCTTCAGCTGAAAGGTTTTCTCTCACATGCCTCTACCAAATGGGGACTTCCTGTGTGTTCTTTGTTTTAAGCACCAATACTAGGCATTTTATAGTTGCAGAAAATGAGTCTGTGTCAGTCATTATTAAAATAACTTGCTAATATGCAATCACCAGCATTCACCGTTACTCAGTACTGTTATTGCCTTTCTACTTTCTAAATTCTAAATTAGCTTCCCACAAATTTCTATAGCACCCTCTAGTGGTTACTCAGTAATTCAGAATAATCCAGATTTTCATATACAGATATACCTTGCTTAACATAGCATGAGCATAAGGTGGTTTCAGATCAATCCATGCTAAACAGAATCACATAAAAATGAATTAAAAACTAAAACAGAAATGCACGTCACAAAAAAAACAATTTTGTAAATTAATATTATGATGAATGCACCCTGTTGGAATTTTTTATAAGATGAAGTTCATGAGAAGGAGTCCTTGAAGAATGTATCAATTGTGAGCTGCCTTTTTTATAGTCAGAATTTCTTCATAGTAGGCAACTCCCTGGTTTACAACCTACTTTACTGCTGTGTTACATTCCTATTTCTTTTTAATCTCTTTCACTTTTTCTCAGCAAAATAACAGTACTAAACAGATCTCCCATTGCCCGCACTTCATTGTGGGGTGGAGGTGACCGCAGTTAAAGATCATACATTTGAATTTGATTCATTGTTGAAAAACAATTAAATTCTAATATTAAACAGCCATTCCATAAATCAATGCATGAGGAGGACTGGCGTTAAGGTTTGCTATATATATACACACACACATTATCTTTAAAATACAAATTAAAAACTAATTAAATCAATTTAATCCTATAACAAGAACTAATTCATATGAGTTTGTTAATGGTGGTGTAAAAATATCGATATTAAATCTAACACTATAACAGTGACCTTTTCTAAATATGTGCCAGGGTAACTGCACTTGCTTGGACACGTAGAACTTTAGAATGATCATTTCAAATCATAGGCACCTCTTAATTAAAGCAAGAAACAACCATATTTAAAAGCCAAGGATATAATAAAGATGCATTTAAAAAAAGTAGCACCTTAAAGCTAGCTGCTTTCGCTTCAAAAACACAAAACCTAAATAAAATCCAGAGTGCAATATAAAAAAACTGAATCAAAGGTGAAAGATTCTGCTGGGATGTGCTCAACACAAATTTAAAACTAAATCTAGGTAGCTGGCAGGATTAACATAAAATAAATCCTTAGTAACATTTTTTGTGTGTCCCCCCCTATAAAATATCATATCAAATATTGACCTTTGTAATGCAATAGAACTACAAACCATTGGCTTTTCCATTTGGAAGATTTTCTCTTGGAATCTTTGGTGAAATAGAACCTATAAAAATGCAATGAAAAAACAGAACAAAGAGGCAGTTTTTTATTTTGTTTTATACATATCAGATCTTTTTACAACTGTATTTGGTAATTTAAGATTTAAAAAGTGACTGTCACTCAAGAAAGTGTGGCAAAACAGATCATAGATTTATTGTAATATCACAATTTTAGTGCCACTATACAGCATACTGTTTTTACATTTAAAAAAAATAAAAAATGATCAAAGTATATCACAAAACTGGCCTTCAACAAACAATCTACATGCAAAATATGATAGTAATGTCATTATTAGAAAAACCACAATAAAATAATAGTGCCAGCATCTACAAGTAAAAGATTCTGAATGCCAATCAGCATTTGGTAAGCTGAACTTACATTTTAAAGCATGTAACTGTGTTGGCTGTTTGCTTTCTGGTTCAGCCCAGGGCGAAGGAACAATTGTGTTCTTAGTGAAGAACTGGAGAAAACAAAAACATGAGACGCTACAGATTGTAAAACAACTATATTTAAATACAATAACACCTAAATGGAGCAATGTTACTGTAAACCTTAGGGCAACTGATACCTGCCAGGAGCCATTAGAAAACAATCAAAGAGACTTAAAAAAAAGGTTGCAATAACTATGAGGCTCTAAAATGACTAATAAAATCTTAAAGGATTACATTTCCAGCATTTACTTTCAACACAAAGGATGCAAAATAGATGTACTGTTTAACAACATTACTTATCAAATATCAATAATATTATCATTGCAGGAGTTTGGAGACTACAGTGTATTTATATACAAACACAGGTTTCTATTAATATAATTGTGAGGATTTTCCATTGACTCATTTTACTTTTGATTATTTTACACTCTGATGAAATTTAACAAAGTGACAGCAACACATCTTTGGAACATTTAGGCCTTTAAAAATAGTTTTTTAAACTAAAAGACACTTTTGCGAGGACATCTTCTGAAATTTGGCTTTCAAGGATATAGTAAACACACAATCATACCTGCTCAATCGCATGCTGTCGCCTTTCTTCAATTTCTTTATCCGTCCTAAATTGACATTTTAAAAAGTAAGAATAGGTTATGGAGAAAAACCCATTAAATTATTTTCAGCAAAGCCTGCATCAAGTTTTCATATAAACTTGAAAACCGCAATCAGAATTTTTTGCCTGAATTGTGCTACTGAGCAAAGCAAATTAATAAAAGACATACCTAGTATGAAATGCTCCAGGACATCCTACTGACCACAATAAGCAAACAGGACTGTTGTCAACACAACATATTTATTAGTATTAAAGTACTATACTTGAAAAACAAAGATGAAAACATTCAATGAAAAGCTGTGAGCTCTACAAAATAGAGTAAGGTACAGAAAACGGCACTTAACTACAGCTGCTTCTTTCTATTGTGTTCACACCAATAAGTGTGTAAGGATATAAACTTATTTTTTTTCTCATCTTTTGCACACTTTGCTACTGCACTGTACTCTTGTGCTCTCAATATATGTTCTAAAAAAATGTCTAATTGTATTTTTTGTTGAAATAGTTTTGTGTAAAATAATTGTCACTTTGGATCAAAATCACATTTTACCTGGTTTGGCTCAGATACAGAGACTGACGATGGATGTCTTCTGGGTCAATGTCAACTGGCAGAAGGCTAGCTATTTCATCAATGGACCACTTGAATTTTGCTGGGGTCTGAAATTCAACAACATGAATAAAACAGCGTTCTTTCAAGAGTAACGTAATACAGTTACATAATTTCTTGACTGATCTTGGTGCCCCTTTACATATTGATTCAAGGGAAGAGAAGAGATTGGTCTTTTCAATCAATTGCAGAAAATTCTAACCTTGAAAAGCCTTCTTTAATTTTAAATGAGTAAAACGCACCGCTGATGATGTCCTAGAAGACCTGAAGAGTGATGGGCTAGCGACGACGGATTCATGCAGGCTATGATAATCGTTGGGGCTCTCAAAAGGGTTGAGAACTGCGGCATGCCCAGGTGATTCAGGTAAGATTTCACCAGCATCTTGAATATGTTCCATGTTATTCAACGGGAACATTCAGGGAAAACAATGAACCTGGAAGGCAACTGATAAAAACACAGGTATTTTTAAAAAATTTAAATGAAACTGCAATGGACAGAGAACACTAGCAAGAACCAGATGGAATCCAAAGTGAATCTAAAAAAAAAGCAAAAGTTAGTTTAAATAAGAACTATTTTAAAAAGAAATTGTAGGTGAAGGTCATGCTGGAGTTTCTCATTTGTTTTATTTTTCATGGGTTTTACTGAATAAAGGTGAAAAATAAGGAGGCCATTTGACCCTATCTAGCCTGTATGGTGGCTAGTACCTAATTGATCAGCTTCAACAACAAGGCTAGTAGTTGATTCCAAACCCCCACAACCTTTTGTGAAAAGCAGCACCTCCCAATTACAGTTTTAACAGTACTTCCGGATAGTCTCTGCAGTTCAAGTCTGAAATGCTTGACAAGCAACTATCAAGCCAACACTGCAGAGAAGAAAGAATATGTTATGACATTCAACTCATCACCATATTACTCAACAAGGACCTAGAGGTACCTTGCCAGGTACCTTGCACACAGAGCTCAAATGCTAATCCATGTGTTGTGTTAACAGATAAGGACAGTGTGTAGAAGGCAGCCTCAGCTTCTTAACCACTTCTTGCCTCTCTGTGGCAAAGATCTGCACAGACATAACAGCTTCCACTGGAATGAGACTGGCACCAGTCACAAGGACTCAAAAGAGATTTGGAAAAATTAAAACTGAAGGAAAGAAGTCAAATAAAATAAAAGATAAGGGGCAAAGTAAAAGTAAAACCAAAAGGAAAATGAAACAAATGACAAGGTAATTACATTCCTATACCTAAATAAATGATTAAGAAAAAATTTGATGGAAACTACAGTACCATATTAGCAGGCAATTATGATATAACTGGAAACAGAGAAACATAGCTAAGAAGAACAACTGAGATGAATGTAACAATAGATTTTGCAATTTCCCTTACGGGATTAATTAAACCGATGCACAGGCAGTGCGGTGGCTCTGTGGCTAAGGATTTGCGCCTGTGGCTATCAAGTATCTATCTAGACACACATTGTTCCAGTGAGACAGGAAAGAGAAGAGACAGACCTGCAGTTCTATATATCAAAAAGTGCCTTCAGGATCAGGAGCTATAGAGTCTCAGAATCTAGGCTATATAGAGTTGAGGCTACTTGGTCATACTTGTAAAAAACATTCTAGGGTTATACAGTACTGTTAGGAGTATGCTACAGAGCAGCAATTGATGATGTTAATTAAAATTAAACGCTGTATAATAAAATGATGAATATATGTGCAAAAGAAGTGGACTTCAACATTGCCCACCAGCCATATAGCGTAGATTTCCAGTGCCGGTCTGGGAGGAACACTGTCCCTTCTGATTTTTGCTCTGACCAAGTTCTTCATGCAATTGGCATCAATGTCGTGTCAATTCCAGTTTCAGAACTGGCCTCATGGGTGTTGACTGAAATGTACCCAATGGAACAAACAAAGCAAAAAAGCACTGAGGTGGGAGAGGATAGTACAGGGGCATTCCCACCCATGCCTGTTCATCATCAACTACTAAGAGCTCTACAAACTGAAATAAAGGCAAGCAAGTTTAGAAGAGATTGCATAAGGTACTGTGTGCTGATGTTGTTGGAAGCAGACCCTTGAAGTGGAGAATTTTGGACACTCAGAAATGACTGATGAAAGTTACAAAGAAGTCTCAACAACCAAGCAGGTGAACAAAGGCATCAGATAGCCCTGGGGGAGCAGACTGCAGCATTCCTCCATAGCCAAATAACCAAGAACAACTGACGTGTAGGATTCTCAGCAGCACAAACCAAAATGGTGCATGTAGTTAACAGCTCTTTTCATACTCAATATATCTACACACCTACAAGAGGAAATGCTTTCATTTCCCTTGGCTTTTCAGACATAAAACCAAGACAAAGAGGAAGGACAATTTAGGACCTATGATCATAACATGGTATGATTTTGAAATAGACTTTGAGATTATCCAGACTGAGTCAATATCAGAAGTTAAATTTAGAGCAATGAAAGAAAATGGGATAGAATAAATATTGAATAGGGAACATTGGTCTACAACACTTCAAAACCAACTCTGCTTGAAGCACAGAATAGATTTCACTCAAGAGTGAATAAGTCAGAAGATAAAACTTAGTATACAGATGTTGAAGTAGGTGGCTGCATCAGCATGTGTAGGCTGCAAAGAATTGCAAGCGGAGGTTAGAAATGAAACTAGAAAGGTCAAGAGATAGAAAGGAATAGTGCAATAGAGGCTAGAATAATCAAAGTTTCTTTCCATACTACAACAGCAAAATACGTTAAGAATGGAAAAAATTGTATCCACAACAATAAGGGGTAATTTCTAAGCAAAGAAAAGAAATGGCCAATGTACTAAATGAGTGTTTCTCTCAGGTGTTCACCATGGGGGGAAAAGTCAACAACATACCTGGGGCAGCAGAAGGACAAAGGATCATTCTTAAAAAGGATTAACATCAAGTTTGAAGTACTAGAAGCACTCAAGATTAATAGATCTCCAGGGGATAATTATACCCTACCAACTATACTTAAGGAAACAGGAGATGTCATTCATAGGTTATTGATACAACTGCTCCAACAGTCACTCAAGACACGGGTAGTCTTAGTGACTGACCAATTGATGGGAGATTTGCACAATTTAGTGCCTATCCATATGAGTGACAAAACAGAACCAAATAATTACAGACCAATAGACCTGACTTCTATTACATTTAAAGTTATGAAAACTATCTGGAAATAGGATCCTAACATTACAGCAGTAATAGACAGAGTATGCAATTTGGGATATTTACATTTTCAGACGGAATTTGATAAAGGTCCTCATTAAAATTCATTAGCAAATCACAAGCAGAATGTATTCTAGATAATGTATGTATGAGTGGAGAACTAGTTAACAGAACGAGTAGGGATCAACAGGGTTTAAAGCAGTTGTATCAATAACCTATGAATGACATCTCCTGTTTCCTTAAGTATAGTTGGTAGGGTATACTTATCCCCTGGAGATCTATGCCAGCAGCCATATCACCCTGCAACTCACAACTGGCAACCCACTGAAGCTAAGCAGGTGTGAGCCTGGTCAGTACCTGGGTGAGAGACCTCCTGGGAAAAACTAACGTTGCTGCTGGAAGAGGTGTTAGTGGGGCCAGCAGGGTCCATGTGGGTCCTAATGCCCCAGTATAGTGATGGGGGCACTATACTGTAAACAGGCGCCATCCTTCGGATGAGATGTAAAACCGAGGTCCTGACTCTCTGTGGTCATTAAAAATCCCAGGACGTTTCTCGAAAAGAGTAGGGGTGTAACCCTGGTGTCCTGGCCAAATTTCCCATTGGCCCTTACCAATCATGGCCTCCTAATAATCCCCATCTATGAATTGGCTTCATTACTCTGCTCTCCTCCCCACTGATAGCTGATGTGGGGAGAGTTCTGGCGCACTATGGCTGCCAACGCATCATCCAGGTGGGGCTGCACACTGGTGGTGGTGGAGGGGATCCCCATTACCTGTAAAGCGCTTTGAGTGGAGTGTCCAGAAAAGCGCTATATACGTGTAAGCAATTATTATTATTATTAATGCCAAGGGACCCCTTAAAATTCAAGACCTACATTTAATGACAAAGGACAAACTACATGCAGCAAAAAAAATCACCATGAGAAACGTTGAACTTAAAGAGACTCCTCAAGAAAAAAACTATTTAAAAAGGGAAAATGTTGGTTTCTTAAAAACGTAGAATGCAAATTGTTACTACTGTACTAGTAAAACTTTATTTGCTGTATAATATTGTGTACGGTTTTGGTTAGCACGGGATATTGCCACTCTAAAAATCAATCCAAACAATAGCAGCAGGCAGATACGTTCAATGGTTTAAAAAAACGTCCTACACGGACAGTCGGAAGGAAATTATTCTTTCTAGTGGAAAAGACCACAGTGACCGAAGTATTCACAATCCTTACAGGCATTAACAAAGACACCCCAGCAGACGTCTTTAGAATAAACAGTGAAACACAAGACAACAAGACGATACAATGGTTTCCTTTAAGAAACGGTTGGATATGATCCTTGGATACATTTACTACTAAACTACCAAAGGGCTAGAGAGAATGAACATTATTCAGCTGGTACTGTATCTTTATTCAAGGAGACAGTGACCAAACACAAATTAACATCTAACAAGAGGACACAAATTTAACTATCATTTCAACATAATATCCAACGACAAAGCAATAGACTTGGATATAGCAAATCAAAGTGCAATCCTGAATTCAATAGAATAGAATAATACAACATGAAACTGACTGAAAGTGATCTGTTACAATATTTTAAAACAGTTCTTAATACTCCTTTGGTGAGGGTGTCACAGTGTTGTTTTATTAGCTAACTTAACTATGAATGACTAACAATATTCCCTGTGTACTATCGAAACTGAGATAAACTAAGACGGTTCATTTTCATTCCATTAAACTCCACTCCAAAATTGCCGAGATCAGCAATAAAAGTTACTAAAACTAAACATTACATAACGTGTCAAGTACAAAGTTAATTAATCAACGCCTAGTGCTGTTTAGGCGCTGGATATAACAATCCTACATCTTTAAGAAACTGCAGACACAATCGACTTAAGACGAAAGAAACAACTGTACTAGGAAAGTAAAATTTAACCTACAAGCAGCGAGCCATAGTTGGTTAGCAACATTAGTTTTCAGAAAGAGTCTGAGATTTATCATAAACTTTCCCAATCATTTAAATAAACTTGATATCAAAATACAATAAAATATATAGAACTTACGTATCTATGCCTGAAATGCAATTCTTATTTTTCACACAGTTCTCGGTAAATCGTTCACTTTAATTTTCCTTCTTCTGTCTCTCCCCACCAATTGTAACCTCAGGTGCTGTCTCTCCACCAATAAACGACACCCGGAAGCACAGATGGCCACTCAAATTAAGACTTCTCTAAGAATTTGAATGAAAGCCCCACCCTTCATACGCAACTTCCCTTCAAAATGACCTAACTTTATTACATACAAAAGTGACACTAATGGTATTAATACAAATTTCTGAACGAAATTGTTTTATAAGAACAACTAATATAGATTGTATAGAACAGAAAATTACAAGGATTTAATTGTGTTTGATTTTTTTCCTACATGAACTCAAGTTCATGTTTACCGGGTCTCAATTTAAAATGAGCCAGAGCACTGTAAACATGGCAAGCGCTGCTAATCTGAACGCTGTGCGGGAAACGATGGACGGTGAGAAACACTGCGTTTTATTGTGATTTTCGTGGTTTACGTGATCGGACGTTCATTTTTGTTTATGAAACTGATTCGGTGTTACCGTTGTTTATCCGATTGAACACGTCGTTGATATTAATAATAAAATCCGCGCCAGTGTTCCCGCTGCGGCCGACTGCTCCTCTTGGGCTATTGACGTTTTGTCGTTGTTGTTATTCGATTTTAATGTCCTGTATTTTAAAAAAGTAATGCCACTGGGAACTTGAACGGAATGTATAGGTTAGTAACGCTTAAATAATTTTATTTCTGTTATATACAAAGTTTGACTAAATCCTGGTTTTATGTGCAGTATAACTTATTGTGTAGGTGTACTCAGAGGGATTTGTACACTATATGGGAAAAGTATTAGGTAAAATCATTTACATAAAGTAAGTTAAATTGAAATGAAGAATACGACTAGTGCAAGTTGGAAGTGCAATGCAAGGCACATGAATAGTCATATTGAAGATAGTGGTGTGGATACCACACAGGAAGGAAGGTAGCCTAGTAGCGTGTAGTCCATTCCCACAGTTAATGAGGACAATAAGCAAAGATCAGATCACCTACCTGACAGTCAAGCACAAATGAAGATTGGAATTAAGAGCTGAAAGATCACAATTTAAAGCTTGAGAGCAGAAGCCTTGATTAAAGCTATACTGTATAAATTAAAGTGCAGTAGCTCAGTGGTAAGATACTTAAAGTTGTGTTTGTCCATGTTGTTCATGCCTTTTTTCTTTTTTCGAGAAACTAATAGATACATTACTAGATGAAACCTAACCTGGCCTCAAACTGAACAAAATACTTGTTTTGTATTATGTGTTTGTTATATCCTGTTCAACAAGAAAAAGTGAGTCCATTGGAGTCTTATTTAGTGATTTTTGTTGAGCGTCAGCTTGTGTAGGCTGCAAAGGAACAAGTAAAGGCTTATCCCAGCTGAAAAGAAATAGAAAGTTTCAGCTGTGGAGCCTTCTTCAGGTGTTCTTCATACCCGAGAAGGCTCCACAACAGAAACTCTGTATTTCTTTTCTTCTTTTTTCAGCATGGATTTAAAAATGGACATTGTAATCTTTCTTTTTGTTTTAAACACACAAACCTAAAGAATCAAAGGAGCAATAAGTACAATAGCATAGCAGAACTTGCTGATGGAAATAATGTTGCACAGCCTAACTAACACAAGTTTATTTTTAGTTCTTCTAGAGATATCAAGGCTTCTTAATACAGGCTTGGACATGGAATCTCTTTCTATCTGTGTTCGCCTATGTGAACAAGGAATCAATCCTGAGGCACTCTCTTCAGTTATAAAAGAGCTCCGTAAAGCTTCTGATGCACTAAAGGTACAAGCCAATATTTTTCTTTCTAGGTTCAAAGAACATGGTTTGTTGGGGTTTTTTTTTGCTTCAGGATATGGAATCCTTCTTATGAAAATGGTATCGGTCACAGTTGGAATACTTGAACAAGATAAGCTTTCTGCACATTGCAGAAATATTATCTGAAAGTAGATGTAACTTCTTTTAAGATGTACACCTTTTCTGTTGTCTTTACCTTCTGTTACTGTAATCAGGAGCTTAATTATTTAGTTTTTTTCTGTGGCTGAAAGTGACTGTATGCTGAAGTTAAGACTCGAGACTTCCAACAGTTATAGATTAGTAAGTTAAATTAGTAAAGGAATTTCAGTCTCTAGTACTATGTAAATATGCTTTGTCTCAAGGCATATTTGAGGAGTTCTGATGTTCCTGAATAACTCCTGTGTTAGCAGAGTGATTTGATCACCCCCTTGGAACTGAGTTCAGATTCTAACTTCAAAAAGTTTTCATGTTGAGAATAAAGTAACTTGACAGTATTGGAGCAGCCCAGTGAACCCTGGGATTCACTGGTACTTGGCCTCATCTGTATTAACTATCAGCCATAGCATAGTTCTCTTCTGATGTGGATAGACCGTATTTGTACACTTCCACTGCTCTGCAGCTTTACTTACTGCTATCATAGCAAGTTAAAACACAAAATCCCTTAGACCTTCTTACCATTAATTATTTTAGACCTTATGATATTTGTTCTATTCCTGTAATCAATTATAAAGAACACAAATTTATGGTAATGTATTTTGTTTGAGACAAATTAATTCTTGAGGTAAACAGCTTTTGTGCTAGAGGTCAAGGTTGGGTGATTTAAATATTTAACTCAACTCACTGATTTAATTCAATTCAATGACTGTAGCCTATTTTTAATCAGATTTAAATACTGTTTAATTTTAACATGGTGATGTGAAGTGGCAGTTCAGAAGAAAACTTGACTGTAATTAGAGTCATAAATACATGAACGCACAATAACAGATGTTTGTTTTTGTGTATTGGGCTTTCCAAATACCAAGAAAATGCTTTCAATTCTTTTTTTATTGTCATAACATGCAAAACAAATCCAAAGTTTTCTGTAGAGATACTTGTGTAAAACGCCATTTTCCAAAATTATTTTAAATAAAAAGTTTCCAGACCTGTGTGTATAATGTGATAAGATGGACCTCAGAAGTTTTTGTTGTGGCTTTACTAATGTTTAATGTTTTCTATTTTTTACATTCTTTCCACAGACTTCTGAAAACAGCACAAGCTAAGAAAGACCAAGATGCTCTTGTTTGAACAAACGTTTTCGACAAGATGGAACCACAGAGCTGGGGAAGATATGTCTTCATAAAGAATTCTTTGTTCACATATAAAAGGGTTACAGTTTTGTAGAACAAAGTTCTACATTCTTTATCTGCAGAACGCTGCAGGCTTAATCTGATACTCTCAAGGTATTTATATTAGAAGTACTTCAGTACAATTATAATAATGTCTGAAATAGTCTTCTTTAACTGTTTTTTTGTTTCACTTGGACTGTTTCTTAATCTGTTTTAACATTGTTTGTGAAATTTCACATTTATATGTTGTGGGTCTTCCTGCAGCACAGTATTAAGAATTCTTTAAATGTGTTTTATGCCATAACTTTGTGATTTAATTGATTTTTGAATTTAACATATTAAATATTTTCATTTCTTAAATCGGTGATTGGATTTTCTTTTTGCGAATGGGTTGTGGAACCATGTGTATGTATGCTAAGATTTGGAGAATTACATGAGAATTACAAACGTACTTATCAGGTTTTCTTTCAGTTTTGTATGGAGTACAAAATAATGAGCTTGCCCAATAAAATAAAATTTGGTACCCATATTTTTGTTCTTAATACTGGGGGCAGTTGTTATGGATAAGTTTGGTTTACTGGTGTAAAGAAATATGTAACTGAGCTCTGTTTTCTGAATAGAGACCAGTTTGATTTTGAAATTTGCTCTGCATTTTAGGAATCTAAAAAAGCAGTAAAGAGAAACACCACAGGGTGGAGCAAGCTCACTGTCAGCTAGCGAGCAGTTAGCAGAATTGAGCTTTTACTGTAAGACGACGTTAAACTGAATTACAACATTTGTGCCAGATGACATTCACCTGAACCTTAATTAAAATAGAACATACCTCCATTTATGGTAGTACTTTATTATTTAAAGTTTAAAACATTTCAATTTACAGGCTAAAGTTTAATAATTAATGTAAAAACAAGATAATCAGGGGGTTGAGGAGTTCCAAACCACCTGTTTGCATGTATATTGAAATCGGCTATGATTTCTGCAAAACTGATGGGTGAACATGTTTTGTACATACAAGGAGGTGCTATTTTGTGGGCGATGCAGTTACTGCAACTACAGAAGTTAACAAATATTAGCCCTCTGCCATAGACTGAGCAAAACATTCTAAGGAAAAAAAAAAACAATTATGTTAAGTATTACTTCAAGATACTTTTTAAAAATGTGGATATTTATAAGGACACACGTATATTGGATAAAAGGAAAGCATTGGAAGAAAAGTATGTCCACACACTTACATTAGGTACTCTATATGCCAGCCTGTGTCTACATGAAAACATACAAACTTTTTTAGCTTTGACTTATCAGCATCAGTCTCCTAAGTGTTTTCCTCTGTCTTTTTTGACATCTTACAAACCTGGCATCTGACTCCATTCAGATCTCTCTGGCAAAACGCAGCATTCCTCAGATCAGCGATTCTAATTTTGAGACAGGTAAGTTAATTGCCTTGACCATTCTTGCATTTTAATTAGTCTTTTGCAGACTTGTCAAATGGACAGTTGTTGTTGTTGTGCTCGTGAAAATATGAAAGTTTGTGATCTTAGCCTAAAATTGCTGTGTGCCATTAGAGGCTGCAATATGTTCCCTTAATTAAAATGCAAAACTGCATTAAAGTTTCCTTCAATCAGGTAAGAGTTCCCAATGCATGAGCAGAAAACCTAGATCCCATTTAAAGGGGTTGTTCCCAAAGTTGATGTTTTGTAGATTTCCTATTGGTTTCACAAGTTTTTGTTACTGCAGATGTTTTGACTCATACTACAGTAGGGTTGTTTCATAACCGATTTCTGATTTATTGATACACTTGATGTGATTTCAATTTCAAGCATTTTGGCAGGGTCCTGTTTTCCATCTTAAAAAGAAATGCTAATATAATTCAAAATGGTTTTAATATATGTACAATACAAATTTGTTCTAGAGGGAATTGCAGAAAGACAGTCATGTCGTGCAATCACGCAAATTAATTTTAGCAATGATAGGTGCTATGTGGCCCTCAAAGCAAGTCAGGACATACAGTACATATTTTAGGAGTTACAGGAAGCTAATAAGAGTGATAAGGTTGTACGTACAGATTTGTCTATGTTCTCAAGGAAGTGTGGATTCCTGGGGAGCTGTTTGTAAGGTTTAGATCACTTTAGTAAGACCTCATTTAAGAATACTGTGTTCAGTTTTGCTCACCATACCACAAAACAATAGCCTTTGTGTTAAAAGAAGGGCAACAGAAATGATGTCTTGGTCTTCAGGGATAGGTCTATACAGACATTTTACATGTCCAGACAGCTACATTTCTTTAGTCTGGATCAAAGGAGATGAATTAAAAATCCTGGAGGATACAGAAGGAGTTGTGTGAATGTAGAACAGGATTCCCAGCCAGAAGATTAACTCCAAACTGCTCCATCAATAAATCATGAGGTGCAATTTTAGATTCACTTAATGGTCAAATCATCTCCTTTTATGCTTGTATGTTATTATATTGGTACATTTGCCTCCCTTTTATCTGAAATTTTCTGCTGCTATTTTATGCCGTTTACTCTTTCTATTAGTGATGCAATTAGCTTCTTATTGACAGATTCTTGACTTTTAAAGAGTGACCCAGAAAGCTGGTCAGGAAACTTGCTTTTCTTGTGAAGTATATTTATCAAGAAATATATGGATTATTGTGTTCACACAAGCATTTCGTTTTTAACCTATTTTTTTTGTAAAAATACAGTAAGCATAACATTTTTTAATTATTGCATTTTTCTTCTATATAAGACTGCACATTTATTACAGTTCATGTAAAAACTGTAATATCATGTTAGTGATATTTATAGTCTTTCACTATAAATATCACTTGCCCTTATTGCTGAAACCAAAGGACACTGACAAGATTTTCTTTGACTACATTGGTTTTGATGACCTAGCAAATTAATCAAATTTGATAAAAATACTTATTTTGTTAAAATACTTAATATTTGTAATCTTAACTTGTTGAATACTATAAATACATTATTGTTATGGAAAGTGATTCCTGTTTGTTTGCAGAATATCTCCAGATGAGGCCAAGCGTACTCTAGGGAGAACCCTGCTCTGTATAATGTGTTAATTTAATAAAAACAATTTAATTAACTCGAGATGCATTCATCAGTTTAAATTTTCTAAGCTATTATTAGAGTACAAAGCATTCTAAATGAAAATGCCTTGCTTCGTTATTGAGGTGATTATATTTTTTCTCTTCTAATATTTCTTCCTTTTCTCTCTTGTTCCTTTGATCCTTAAACTGTGCTGGGCTCCTTGCCTCTGCTTCAGTTTGATATTGAGTAATATCACATGTAATGCATTTGTTCAGACTGTTTAATTTAATCTCTCTACAGGCACAAAAACAGTGATAAAATGGATATCATTGCTGAATGGTAGCCAGCATCAGCATTGAGCTGACTTTTTATCTTAGACTTTTTGAAGCTCTTTCATAAAGGGAGCTCAATATCATAGGAACTCCAAACATGCCACAAACATTACTGTGATCGCCTTGTCTTGAATTCCGCTGGTGCAGGGACTAGATAGAGTTCAATCCACCCAAGCAAGCCAACATAATAAAACATAATTTGGGCTAATCTGCCTGAAGAATGTTGTCTGTTTGAAGCTGACAGTCCCCTATCATATGTAGAAATAATTGCCTTTTGACTAAAACGAGGGAGTCTGTCAAAGTGAGTTTTTCTGTGGCTTGCACCTTACAGGTGTTTTCTGCCTCAAACAATCTGTGCCTTGTTTAAAAAGAAAAGTAAAAACTGAAATAATAAAACAGACAGGGGAAACTTGACCTCTCCATCGCTGATCTTCCATGGAATGCACATGAACCTTAGGGTCCTGGTTGTAGGTAGCAGAACTATAAAGAGTCCATTATCAATATAATGCAATTTCCTGTCATATCAAATTCTATTACAAATAATAGTTTTATTTTTGATATTTTTTCTGGCATTTCTTGGAAGCTATTTGGTTTATGTAAATAATTATCAAAATGCAAATATATACATGTGTAGTGTAGTTAACCTCACCTTAACTGTGTACAAACAAGATAAAGCAAGAAAAATCACAAAAATGCATCCTGCAGTCTGCAAATTGACCTCGTGTTTTTTAACATGAAGTTAAATTGTCTGCCTACTGTTTAACATGACTTAACACCCCTATTCTCCCACTGATTTCCTTCTCACTTAATACCACTTTCATACTGACATATTTTTATACATATTCACTGCATAACTGGTAACAAATCTATTTTTTGGCAATGACTAAGTAAAACAGAAATCTTGGAAACTATAACTTTTATTCTTTTTATTCTTTTTTCCTTTGTGCCTCTCAAAATTCTATCAAAAAATCTTTATAGCAAGGGCATACTGTATCTGAATGCTGGTCACAACCCTTCTCTAACAGACAACGAATAACAAATTGTTATACATGGCCTTACAAAGCAGCTTGTTAAAGCTACATGTTTATAATTCAGAATAATAGCTGCCAATTAGCCTGAAATGTGATTTAACACCACAGGAATAAAGCCAAAATATGTGCCATGTCATTTGATTTAAACATGCTACAGTTAAAACATACAGTATACAGATAAAACTGGCTTTGGGTGAATATTGTATGCTGCAACTGTGAAGATTACATGCAAACCTTTGATTTTTTTAAAGATTTCTTTTAATGTTTTTTTAATGTTGGAAGATCTTCAAGGGATTGACAGAAGAACAAAGCTCAAAAAGTACTAGCTTCTGAGGGTACAAGCAAAATGCACTGTGGTCGTAAAATATTTTGAAGATTAAGTGACTTTTAACAACAGAGTGGAAGAAAATTTGAGAAAATCCTGGAATTACTATTTATACTATTAAAACTTTTCAGTGGTTTAATTCTTGTAAATATCCTTCTCACAAGAAAGATTGGTCCAGTGGGCTGTGGGAGTGTGGCTGCCCAACCATCTTGTTGAAGCTGATACGCTGGTTTCTTTAAGGATACAGGCGTATGAGATCATTGCATCAATTACAGTAGCCACCAACTACTGAAATGACTAGATGGGCCCAATGGCCTCCTCTCATTTGTTACCTGTCTTTTTAAAAATGTGCACTTCTTGGTTATCATGGGAGCTGCGAACATGTGACACTATTCTTATGATGGGATACAGAGAAAAACATTGTTCTTGTCATTTACACTGTATGTACTGCACATATGGAAGCATTCATACAATGCTGAAAACATAGCAGAGTTTCTGTTGTTGGTAGGGCTTTTTCCCCACATCTACTTTATTTAGCAGTTGAATAACACATTAATGAGCTCTTAGCCACAACATTATCTTCTCAAGTGGAATTAAGTTTTCTGAAGAGCTCTGCACACTCAGAAACAATAAAAGAGAATCCTGCTGCATTACAAAGGCAAAGGAGAAAACAATTACAAAACAAACACTCGAACTATGGAAAAAAGAAAACTAGATTATTCTTTTCCAAAGATACTTTAGATCCTTAGAATACAACTCCTTTCGTACTTGAATAATATAATAGGTTCCCAA